GGGAGTTTGTGCTTTATGTATTCTGTGTGAGTTTGTGCAAAAATCTCCAACAAAGCTTGAGTTTAGATGATTAATGTCAAAGACAAAATTGATCCTGATCAAATTTCACTATAAGTCTCCAAAGAATAGAAAACTCTATATCCACTCTATATCAAAAAAATATTTGCATAAATGTTTTCAAAAAACACCAAAATATTTCCTCATTTTTTGGAAGTATTGTGCTTTATGTACTCTATGTGAGTTCGTATCAAAATCTACAACAAAGCATGATTTTAGAAGAATAACATCAAAGACAAAATTACTCCTGATCAAATTTCACTATAAGTCGCCAAAGAATAGAAAACTCTATATCCACTGTATATCAAAAAAATATTTGCATCAATGTTTTCAAAAAACACCAAAATATTTCCTCATTTTTTGGGAGTTTGTGCTGTATGTACTCTGTGTGAGTTTGTGCCAAAATCTCAAAGAAAGGCTCTTTCCAGAAGAAATACGTCAAAGAAAGAAATGTTCGTCATCGAATTTCACTATGAGTCTCGAGAGGAAAAAATCCGCATTTTCATTGCAGATCGAAAAAATATCTGCATTATTGTTTTCAAAAAACACCAAAATATTTACTAAATTTTTAGACTTTATGCTTTATGTACACTATGTGAGTTCATGCCAAAATCTCAGAGAAAGCCTTTGTCTAGAAGAAATACGTCAAAGACAAAAATATTCTTCATCAAATTTCACTATAAGTCACAAAAGAAAAGAAAGCTCTATTTCCATTGGATATCACAAAAATATTTGCTTTAATATTACCAAAAACACAAGAAATTATTTCCTCCTTTTTTGGGAGTTTGTGCTGTATGTAGTCTGTGTGAGTTTGTGCCAAAATCTCTAACAAAGCATGATTTTAGAAGAATAAACTCAAAGACAACATTACTCCTGACCGAATTTCACTATAAGTCGCCAAACAATAGAAAACTCTATATCCACTCTATATCAAAAAAATATTTGCATCAATGATTCCAAAAAACACCAAAATATTTCCTCATTTTTTGGGGGTTTGTGCTGTATGTAGTCTGTGTGAGTTAGTGTCAAAATCTCAAAGAAAACCTTTTTCTAGAAGAAAGACGTTAAAGACAAAAGTATTCCTCATCAAATTTCACTATAAGTCATCAAAGAAAAGAAAGCTCTATTTTCATTGGATATTACAAAAATGTTTGCACCAAGGTTACCAACAAAACACGAAAATATTTCCTCATTTTTTGGAAGTTTGTGCTTTATGTACTCTATGTGAGTTCGTACCAAAATCTACAACAAAGCTTGAGTTTAGAAGATTAATGTCAAAGACAAAATTACTCCTCATCAAATTTCCCTATAAGTCACCAAAGAAAAGAAATCTCTATTTCCAATCTATACCAAAAAAATATTTGCACCAATGTTACCAAAAAAAAACAAGAAAATATTTCCTCATTTTTTGGGAGTTTGTGCTGTATGTAGTCTGTGTGAGTTAGTGTCAAAATCTCAATGAAAGCCTTTTTCTAGAAGAAAGGCTTTAAAGACAAACATATTCCTTATCAAATTTTACTATAAGTCATCAAAGAAAATAAAACTCTATTTCCACTGTAATCAAAAAAATATTTGAATCAATGTTTCCAAAAAAAAAAAAACACGAAAATATTTCCTCATTTTTTGGGAGTTTGTGCTGTATGTACTCTGTGTGAGTTTGTGCCAAAATCTCACAGAAAGCCTTTGTCTAGAAGAAAGACGTTAAAGACAAAAATGTTCCTCTTCAAATTTCACTATAAGTCACCAGAGAAAAGAAATACGCATTTTCATTGCAGATCGAAAAATTATTAGCATCAATGTTCCCAAAAAAATAATGGAAAATATTCCATATTTTTTTCATCTATTTTTCCTCGGACTTTTTTCGAGTTGACACCTGAAAGTGACATAAAATTTCATTTTAGGTGAAAGTTTTCAAAGGAAGAAATATTCTATACAAAATTTCACTACTTATCTCAGAATTAATCAGACATATAGGTACAATAGTTTTTATGGAAATTACATTCTAAATTTAGATACCTGAAGTGAAAATTATGTGTTGGCTTTTTGTTGCTGTTAATTTAAAGCGTATCGAAACCGAGTCAAAATCTACTTTTATAATTCAGTTTTTGGGAAAAGTGTCGAAGGAGGAAAAATTCTATGCAAAATTTCACTATAAGTCCCGAAATAAACGATATATCTAGCTACAATAGTTTTTATGAAAATGACATTTAAAATGCATGTACTTTTCTTTTGTTCTGCCCCAAATTTCGAACATTCCTAAAAACTTTCCCACCCCGCAAAATTATTAAATCCTAATACCCCTTTTGTCGAACACACTCAAACCTCCCAACACAGGTAGCCTATTTGTATTTCTTTTCAAAATTATTATTCCACGGGATTTAATTTCAAAATAAAAACAACAACGACAAAAAACACAAACAAAAGAGGCATGTCTGGAGATGCGATGACGTTCTTTGTCATTATCGTCATCGTCAACACCATTGGCGGCATTGTCGTCACCATATCAGCTGCTGCAGGCGTTAATGTGATAATCTAGTGGGTCGTTTGCATGCCCTGTCGCTACGCCCTCCTCCTCCTGAGGTTACTCTTCTTTGTTTAGAGCATTAATTGTAATTTGTTTTCTTGTAAAGATAAAAAGAGGAATTAAAAGAAAAACACTTTTCCCTTCTGTTACAGACAATGGGATGTATCAGACATTTAATGATTAAAAAAACAAGAGGAGACAAGAAGTAATTTGACGTGACATAAGTGTCTTTTGACAAGTATATAATACGTCATACAAATGTAATGCAATACATGCACACACACACACACATACATACAGACACGCATGTGGTGTTCTATTAAAAATGGGAGAAGAAGTCTCCCAAAATGTGGATTAAAAAAATATGTCAAAGATCTAAAAAATGTTTATTTTTTTCAAAGATGATAGTCTTGAAATTTTAAAAAAAATATTTTTCAAAGTTAGTAAGGTAGTGAATTCTTAAAAAAAATATTTTTTAAAGTTAGTGATGTTTAAGGATTTTTTTTTTAAATATATTTTCAGAGTTAGGGAAGTTGTGGATTTTTTAAAAAAATATTTTTTTCTAAGAAAGTGAAGTCCTGGATTAAAAAAAAAAAGTTAGTGAAAACAAAATACAAAGTTGTGAAAACGTGGATTTTTCAAGAAATATTTTGTGAAATTTAATGAAGTCGTTTTTTGAAAGTTAGTAAATTCTTGGACTTTTTAAAAAATATTGTTTTCGAGTTAGGAAAGTCGAGAATTAAAAAAAAAAATATTTTTTCAAATTAGTGAAGTCGTGGATTTTTAAAAAAATATTTTTTCAAAGTTAGTGAAGTCGTGGATTAATGAAGTCGTGAATTTTTTAAAAAATATTTTTTCAAAGAAAGTGGATTTAAAAAAAAAATTCAAAGAATGTGAAGTCGTGGATTTAAAATAAAATATATTTTTTTAAAGATTGTGAAGTCGTGAATTTTTTAAAAAATATTTTTTCAAAGAAAGTGAAGTTGTGGATCTTAAAAAAAAATTCAAAGAATGTGAAGTCATGAATTTTTTAAAAAAATATTTTTTTCAAAGAAAGTGTAGTCGTGTATTAATGATATTGAAATATTTTTTTAAAGAAAGTGAAGTCGTGGATTTTTTAAATTTTTTTTTTTCAAAAAAAATGATATCGTGGATTTTTTAAAATATTTTTTCAAAAAAAGTGATGTCGTGGATTTTTTAAAATATTTTTTCAAAAAAAGTGATGTCGTGGATTTTTAAAAATATTTTTTCAAAAAAGTGATGTCGTGGATTTTTTAAAATATTTTTTCAAAAAAAGTGATGTTGTAGATTAATGAAGTCATGAATTACAAAAAAAATTAAAAGAAAGTGAATTCGTTGAATAATGGGGTCGTGGATTTTTTAAAAAAATATTTTTTCAAAGAAAGTCGAGTCGTGGATTTTTTTAAACATTTTTGTCAGATCTAATAAATTCGTAGATTTTTTAAAAAATATTCTTTTAAGATCTAATGAATTTGTGGATTTCTTAAAAGTTATTTTTTATTTATATTTTATGATAAAAAATTTAAGTTAGTGATGTCCTGGATTTTTTAAAAAATATTTTTTTAAAGTTACTGATGTCGTGGATTTTTTAAAAAATATTTTTTATGATCTAATGATGTCATGGATTTTAAATTAATTCTTTTAATTTTTTTATGATCTTATGATGTCATGGATTTTAAATTAATTTTTTAATTTGGTGATGTCGTAGATTTTTAAAAAAATATTTTTTTATAGTTACTGATGTCGTGGATTTAAAAAAAAAAATTTAATGTTACTGATGTAGTGGATTTTTTAAAAAATATTTTTTTAAAGTTACTGATGTCGTCGATTTTTTAAAAAATATTTTTTTAATGTTACTGATGTCGTGAATTTTTTAAAAAATATTTTTTAAAACATTACCATGGTAAACATTACCATCGTTCTCCACTAATAAACAAACATTGTTTTTATAAAAACAACAATAAAGGGATAAGCCTGACCATTTTGCAACAACAAAAATATTTTTTTAAGTTACTGATGTCGTGGATTTTTTAAAAATATTTTTTTTTTCAAAGTTATTGATGTCGTGCATTTTTTAAAAATATTTTTTTTTTTTCAAAGTTATTGAAATTGTATACATTTTTTAAAAAATATTATTTTCAAAGTTTGTGAAGTCGTGGATTTAAAATAATATTTCTTTCAAAGTTAGGGAAGCCTTGGATTTTTTTAAAAAATATGTTTTCAAAGTAATTGTAGCCGAAGATTAAAAAAAATATTTTTTTCAAAGCTAGCGAAGTCGAGGATTTTTTAAAAATATTTTTTTTTTAAATACCAACATTGTTTTATAAGTCTCTCAGAATAAAACATTTCAAATTTTTTTTAATTAAATTTTATTATTCTCTTTTACTAATTTTTAATATAAAAAATTACAAAAAATACAACAAAACAATTATGTTACAACCTAAGAAAATACGCAAAACAAACAAAAACACAACCCCCAAAAAAACGAAACACAAAGTAAACGTTCAACAAATGTTAACAACAAAAAATTACTTTGACTTCATAGCATTAGCCTAAAAGTATGCTCTACATGTTTTAAAAAATTGCTTTAAACTAAACAAATCATGGAATTTAATCATATCTATTGTGGAAAATGTAATTAAGCTAAGGAAATTTGGTTGTAATTCTTTTTTGACTTTTCAATAAGCGAGGATATTTTCCAAGAAAAGAAAATTGGAAAATGCAGAAAATCGAAAGAAAAAAACACAAAAACCTCGAAAAATTAAAGTTTCGACTTAAATTTAATATTTGTCAGGTTCGTCAATGACGCCACCGCCGCTGCTTTTGAATGTGATGTCAGTTCCTCTGATGGTTTGTCCTTGTCCTCGTCACTGTGTGCCGGCAGCAAATTACCCGTTGCAAAAATATTCTTAGGATCCAAACGCTCTTTGGTGGCCTTGTACACCTCCGTCCCTGTCTTCGTGATCGTGTGTTCATACCACCGTGATCGTATTTTTCCCACCCCGTGATGATGTGACAGTGAGCCACCACATTTCAATATCTCATCACGAGCCGCCGACTCAATGTATTCAAATAATTCCACCGGATGCTCAAAACCTTTCATGTTGAAAGCGAAGTAGAAGTAGACACAGGCTCCAGCATCATAGGTTTGCGTCACCCGGCACGATATACTGTAGTGATGGACGCTGCGGGCATGACATTCCTGAGGGCAAGAAGAAGAGGGGAGAATAATTTTAGTTGATTTTAAAGGATTTCAGAGAGAATTATTATTTCAGAGAAAAGAGAGCATTATTTTTGAGATAAGAGCCTCGGAGATAAGGATAAGATAAGTCAGCGCCATTATCTATCAGATAAGGGCCGAAGAGGAACATTATCTAGCAGCAAATGACCAATTCGGACTTTTATCTATCAGATGAGGGTCATTCAGGTTCATTATAGGTCAGATACGGAATATTATCTGTTGGATAAGTGCCAGCCAGGACCAGTATCAATGAGTTAAGGACCAATCAGGGTCAATATATCTGTTGGATAAGTGCCAGCCAGGACCAGTATCAATGAGTTAAGGACCAATCAGGGTCAATATATTTTAGATAAGGGCCTATTGAAACCATTACCTATCAGATAAGGACCCGTAAGGACCTTCATCTTCCAGATAAGAACCGGTCAGGATCATTATTTGCCAGATAAGAACCAATCAGGACGATTATCTATCAGATAAGGGTCAATCAGGACCATTATCTACCAGATAAGGGTCAATCAGCACCTTTATCTATCAGATAAAGACCAATCAGGACCATTATCTATCAGATAAGGGCCCTTAATGACCTTTATATTCCAGATAAGGACCGGTCAGAATCATTATCTGCTAGATCAGGCCGCTTATCTATCAGAACCATTATCTATCATATAAGGATCAATCAGGACCATTATCTATTAGATAAGGGGCAATCAGGACCATTATCTATAAGATAAAGGCCGGTCAGGATCATTATCTATGAGATAACGACCGGTCAGAATCATTATCTGCTAGATCAGGACCATTATCTATCAGATAAGGATCAATCAGCAACTTTATCTATCAGATAAAGACCAATCAGGACCATTATCTATCAGATAAGGGCCCGTAAGGACCTTTATCTTCCAGATAAGAACCGGTCAGAATCATTATCTGCCAGATAAGAACCAATCAGGACGATTATCTATCAGATTAGGGTCAATCAGGGCCATTATCTATCAGATAAGGGTCAATCAGCACCTTTATCTATCAGATAAAGACTAATCAGGACCTATATCTCTCAGATAAGGGCCCGTAAGGACCTTTATATTCCAGATAAGGACCGGTCAGAATTATTATCTGCTAAATCAGGACGCTTATCTATCAAATAAGGGTCAATCACAACCATTATCTATCATATAAGGATCAATCGGGACCATTATCTATCAGATAAGGGCCCGTAAGGACCTTTACCTTCCAGATAAGAACCGGTCAGAATCGTTATCTGTCAGATAAGAACCAATCAGGACGATTATCTATCAGATTAGGGTCAATCAGGACCATTATCTATTACATAAGGGCCGATCGGGGCTATTATCTATCAGATAATGGCCAATCAGGTTCATTATCTGTCAGATTAGGGCCGTTCAGAATCATTATCTGTTAGATAAGGGTCTTTCAGGACCATTATCTATCAGATAAGACTCATTATCTATTAGATAAAGGTCATTCATGATCATTATCTAAGAGATAAATGCCTATCAGGGTCATTATTCTCAGATATAAGGGGCGGTAAGGACCATTTTCTCAGAAATCAGCCCCATTTAGTTCCAGTTTCTCTCCTCCTTCTTCTCCTTTCTCTCCACCTCCCTTTTCTCTCCATCTCTCTTTTCTCTCTCTCTCTCTCTCTTCTCCATACTCACCAAGGACACACGTTGCTTTACATTCCGACACAGCCTGGCACAACGATCCCAAGGTACCGAAGTTTCGAAGGACTCCGCTATGATATCGTGCCTCAAACCCAGATCCTGGAATTCAGACGAAAAATTAAATTGAAAAATCCCTTCAGGATAGAAAATCCGACGCTCCTCCACTCACCCTCATATAGGCAATGACAAAAGTCATAATATAACCACGCTCCCCATTCTCTCCACCCGCCGCAAATCCCTTGTATTTCTTAGCGATTCCAATTACCAACTCCTCCTGCCGATTGACATCTTCCAATTCCCCCTCAAAGAGCAGTGTGGCCGCACAGATGCTACTCAAATCGATGCCCTTAATGCTCGTCACATAGAACTTTTTCACATAATCCACAATGCTGGCCTTCCAGCCTTTCGGTGGCTTAAGGCTCTGGCCCATTATGAACTGTTCATTGTCCATCAGACGCACCGACGAAGGTTGACATCTTCGCAAGGCCACTTCACGCATAAACTGGACACCGCTCTCAAAATCAGGGAACACCAAACTGTTGTAACGTCGCACCGCCGGCAGGGGTCTCACCTTGAGGACCACCTCCGTGATGACACCCAAGGTGCCCTCGGAACCCATAATTATGTGATTAAAGTCCGGACCACATGACACCCGGGGCGCAGTGCACTCCCGCTCAAGGACACCATTGGCTGTGACCATTTTCACATGGACAACCAGATCTTCAATGTTCCCGTAGACATTTTTCTTCATGCCCGAGGCACGTGTGGCCACCCAACCACCCAAAGTGGAAAATTCATAGCTGTCCGGCTCATGGCCCACCGTTAGACCTTGACTCCGCAAAGTTCTCTCCAAATCCTGGCCCACAATGCCAGCCTCAAAGCACACCGTCATATTGGATTTATTCAGCCAAACCATGCGATTCATTTGCGACGTATCCAGACAACACATCATCCGTTTCTCCTCCTGGGGACAGGTGGTGGCGCCCGACACCGAGGTACCTCCACCATAGGGCAGCACCACAACATTATGGCGATGGGCCATTTCCACCAGACGCACCACCTTACTATGGCTTGTGGGCCAGGTCACAACATCAGGTATCCGCTGGAATTTATTGCTGCACAAATAGTAGATATCATGGAGGGTCTGGCCATGGCATCGTATCAGTCGATCCATTCCCTCGAGGCTGTGCGCTATGCCAGACGTTGCAAGCTCTTGCAGAAATTCAGCATTGACGGTGGGCTTCGGAAACTCTGTGGGTAGTTCGGGTAGCGGTAGCTTATTGTGCAGGGTACATTGGAAACGATTCAGCACCCATTCGGTGAACAGGGGTAGGACTGTGCCGTCGAGGGGGTATCTGGAAGGAGAAGAGGGTATAAGTAAAGGAAGAAAAGAGGCTACTCAGGAGAATTAAGTTGGACTAATCAGATAATGACCAGAACCATTATCTCCCAGATAAAAATCCGTCAATTATCTGTTAGATATTTACATGTCAGGATCATTATCTCCCAAATGGGGACCAACCCGGATCATTATCTGGCAGATAAGAGCATGTCAGGACCATTATCTGGCAAATAAGGGCCTGTCAGGACCATTATCTGGCAGATAAGGGCCTTTTGGGACAATTATTTCCCAGATAAGGGCTTGTCAGTACCATTATCTGGCAGATAAGGGCCTGTCACGAACATAATCTCTCAGATAAGGGCCGGTCAGAACCATTATCTGGCAGATAAAGGCCTGTCTACACCATTATCTGACCGATAAGGGCCGGTCAGAACCATTATCTGGCAGATAAGGGCCTGTAAGGACCATTATCTGACAGATAAGAACCCGTCAGGGCCATTATCTGACAGATAAGGGCCTGTCAGGACCATTATCTGGCAGATAAGGGCCTGTCAGAACCATTTTCTGGCAGATAAGGGCCTATCATGACCATTATTTGGCATATAAGGGCCTGTCAGGATCATTATCTGACAGATAAGAACCTGTCAGGACCATTATCTGTCAGATAAGGGCCTCTCAGGATCATTATCTGGCAGATAAGGTCAATTATCTGTTACAGATTTACATTTCAGGACCATTATATCTCAAAAGGGACCTGTGAGGACCATCATCTGGCAGATAAGGGCCTTTCAGGGTCTATCAGGACCATTATTTGGCATATAAGGGCCTGTCAGGATCATTATCTGACAGATAAGAGCCTGTCAGGACCATTATCTCCCAGATAAGAATCTGTCAGGACCATTATCTATCAGATAAGGGGCTGTCTGGACCATTACTTGGCAGATAAGGGCCTGTCAGGACTATTATCTGGCAGATATGGGCCATTATCTGTCAGATATGGGCCTGTCAGAACCATAATCTGGCAGATATGGGCCTATCATGACCATTATTTGGCATATAACGGCCTGTCAGGATCATTATCTGACAGATAAGAACCTGTCAGGACAGATAGGGGCCTCTCAGTATCATTATCTGGTAGATAAGGGCCTGCCAGTACCATTATTTCCCAGATAAGAATCTATCAGGACCATTATCTATCAGATAAGGGCCTGTCAGGACCATTATTTGGCAGATAAGGGCCTGCCAGGACCATTATCTGGCAGATATGGGTCATTATCTGTCAGTTAAGGGCCTGTCAGGACCATTATTTGGCAGATAAGGACCTGTAAGGACCATTATCTGGCAGATAAGGGCCATTATCTGTCATATAACGACCTTTCAGTACCATTATCTCTCAGATAAGAACCCGACGGAATCATTATCTGTCAGATAAGGACTATTATCTCTTAGATTATGACCTGTCATAGTTCATATAATGGCCGGAGAACTCCATTATCTGTCATATAATGGCCGGTGAGTTCGATTATCTGTCAGATAAGGGCCAATGGGTTCCCTTATCTGTCAGATAATGGCCGGTGAGTTCGAATATCTGTCAGATAATGGCCGGTGAGTTCCATTATCTGTCAGGTAATGGTTATCTGGGACGGTCAGAACCATCTCATCACTTACTTCTTTCCTCGAAAACATATCATGTCGTTCTCCACATAAAACTCGGAGTCATTGTAGCCCCAGCCATACCATTTGAGGACATCTTGTCTAGAAGGAAAGAAAATACAATAACAACAAAATCAGGACATACAAAAACAACACCCTGCTTTCGAAAGACCAACAAAACAAAAATGTGGGAAGGCACGCACATATGTGAAGCAGGGGGATGATTTTACCACAACAACAACAACACACTTCCAAATATGATGATAACAACAAAAACAACAACACAAATAAAATTCAAAACTATGTCATACCTTTTCTTGGGGAATACACTTTCAACATCCTTAGACAGGCGCTCATCTAATATGGCCATGTCTGATGTCGTTGACGCCGGCGACGATTGGGCGCCACCATTCGCCAAATCGGACGTTAACATCTCCGCTGTTCCTGATTCTGTTGGCGTTGGCGTTGTCGTCGTCGTCGACTTTGCAGTCTCGCTTGCCTTCGATTTATACGTGTGCTCCACCAACGCCGCAGGAGCTCTGATGGCCAGATGAGGAACATTTTCACTGTCGCAACTTTTCTCCGCCGAGGATGTGGAGTTTGATGTAACATAATTTATGCATTTGTTTGTCATGGCCATGGTGCGTTTTTATTTTTTCTTCTCCTTCTTCTTTTTTTTATAAAATATAGTTTACACTGCTATATCCTTAATCCTTAAATAGTATTCTTTTTTCCGTTTGCTTTGCGTGTAGGCCTCCAGTTTCTAGGCGGGGGAGCAGCAATTAGGAATTCTTATATTTTTAATTTTATTGATTTTTTTAAGTTTCCGTTTTAGTTACTTTACTAAAGACTTTTTTTTCAAAGCTTATTTAATTTCTTTTTTAGTAATCGCTTTTATTTCTTTTTAGAATTTCCACTAAGAGCTACTTGTATCAGATTTATTAAAAAATTAATTGTATATTTTTGTGTGTGTTATTTTTTCTTGTTGTAGTTTCTGCCTTTACACGCACAGCTTTCTTTTGCAAATTGTCCATTACAACTGTCTGCCATAAAATTTGAAGGGATTTTTCCTACTCTAGTTTCATTCTCAAAAAGAAACGAAAGCTCTGCAGTGCGCCTGCACCAGATGTGTCAATTCATAATTGTTAAGGGAGGTAGTATTCACATACAAAGAGAGAGAGAGAGAGGGAGGCGGAGAGAGAAAATGGAAGGCAAACATGTGTTTCAGTTTTGTCCGCCTTTTCTCCTGTCCACCACGAACTCTAATTGGTATGTGTTTTAAAGGATATACTTAAAATTATAACGGCCATGTGGTAAACAAAGCTCTCTTCTCTTTCTCTCTCTTGTGAGTAGTAAGAGCATGGTAATGTACTCTTAAGGTGTACAACACACAGTTACTTTTAAAGGGGGTATAAGATGAGAATATTAGTATTTGTTTATATCCAATGCAATAGATACGGAAAACCAACCACAAAAAATTCAAAATATATCAAACCCGGCCAATATTTGAAAATCGGCTAAGAACGCAAAATTCGACCAAATACGACCAAAAACGACAAATACTCAAAAAATCGTCAAAAAAAAAAAAAACAAAACCACCAAAAATCTCATTTTCCACGAAAACCAACAAAAAAAGAACTTTCAAAAAACACCAAATCCGACCAAAAGCCCAAAAGCAAAAGTCCGACCAAGAACGACAAAAACTCTGAAATCGAAAAAACGCAAAAACTACCCAAAAATCTCAATCCCCAGAATACCAAACTCGACCAAAATTTGAAAATCGTCTAAAAAAAATAAAATTCGACCAAAAACGACTAAATCGTAAAAAATACAAAAACAAGCAAAACAAACCAGAAATTTCGATTCCCAGGATAACCGACAAAAATTTGAATAAATTAATGAATGAATAAAATTCGACCAGAAACTTCAAAAACTCAATTCCCAGGAAAACCGTTCAAAGAATACCAAACTCGCACAAAATTTAAAAAAACGACTTAAAAAGTAAAATTCGACCAAAACACAATTTCGTAAAAAAATACAAAAACTTTAGATTTCCACGAAAACCGACCAAAAAACGTTCTTACAATACCAAACCCCACCAAATTGTTTAAAATCAACTAAAAGGGTAAAACCCGACCAAATAGGACAAAAACATAGAAAACGTAAAAATGACCAAAAACAACCAAAAATCTCAATTCCCACGAAAACCGTTTAAAGAATACCAAACTCGACCAAAATTTAAAATACGGCAAAAAAAGTAAATTTCGGCCAAAAACACAATTTCGTAAAAAAATACAAAAACAAGCAAAACAAACCAAAAATTTCGATTTCCACAAAAACCGACCAAAAAATGATCAAAGAATGCAAAACCTGATCAAAATTTGAAAATCGACTAAAAAATAATAATAAACTCAGAAAACGTAAAAAAGACAAAAAAACAACCAAATATCTAATTTCCCACGAAAACCGTTCAAAGAATACCAAACCCGACCAAAATTTTAAAATCAACTAAAAAAATAAAATCCGGTCAAAAAACGACAAAAAACTCAGAAATCGTAAAAAAGACAAACAAAAAAACAAAAAAAATCTTAATTCCCACGAAAACCGATCAAAGAATACCAAACCTGAACAAAATTTTAAATTCAAACAAAAACCTACAATTGTAGAAAAAATGTCTAAAAACGACCAAAAATGTCAAAATTGAAAAAAAAATATATCGACCAAATTTTGGAAAAATCTAAGAAAATGCCCAAAATTTAATTCATCAAGAAAATTACAATCAAGTCCTTCAAAGTTACTCCCGAATAAAACTAGCAAGTTTTGAAATGAGCAAAAAAATCTAAATTGGACCAATTTTCCACAAAACCTAAAACAGACTAAAATAAATCCAAAATAGACCAAATAGCCTAAAATAAAAAAATAATGTAAAAAATTTGAAATATAACGAAAAATGTTCGAACAGTTAAAAAGAAAAAAAAAAAAAGAGTTGGACATTTTTTCAAAAAAAAAAAAAAAAATTAGAAAGCCAAAAAAGCATCAAAAATCTACCAAACTGTTCAAAATCCAGAAAAACATGTAAATAAACTTAAAAATGTGAAAACCAAACAAAAACTCTAACAAAAGTCTAACATTTTCAAAAAAAAAATTATGTAAAAATTGGCCAAAAAGTTAAAATTAATAAAAAGTCTCAAAATCGACCAAAATGTCTAACCCGAAAAACTGAACAATGAATTTAAAATTGTCGAATTAAAATCAAAAATTGGTCGAAATGTACAAAAAACTCACCAAAAAGGTAAAAAACTAACAAAAAAAAATTCCATATCCTCAAACATCCTTAAAAAATATTGGTTTTCAAAAAAATTCAAGTCTACAACACCCTTAAAAATATATTTTTTTCAAATCGACGTCTCCAATACCCTTAAAAATATTTTTTTCAAAAATCCATTTTAAAAAATATTTTTTCCAAAATCCAGCCTTAAATTATTTATATTTAAAAAATCCATTTTTTTTTATTTATAAAAATTTATATTTTATATTTTAAAAATCCACGTCTTCAATTCCCTTAAATTATTTATTTTTTAAAAATCCACGTCTTTAATTCCCTTAAATTATTAATTTTTTACCACGTTGTTAGAGAAATAGGAAGAACTATTTTCTAAAAAACCCAAATCCTCATGGTCTACGGTGTTATAAGTTAAAAAAAAAAAACAAACAGTTAAACAGTTGACCAAAAGGGAAAAAAATAGACCATAATTTACAAATATATTCAAAATTAATCATTGTTCACATTTCCCCTGATTTTCTAAAAGGTTCCTTATAATTTGTATGGCAACATCAGCCATTACTCAAGCAAAAATCCCTCTCTCTCGTCACGCATAAACAAAATTCTAGTTCTCTCCCCCATTGGATGCATTATTATCTCCCCCCCATTAGAATGAGAAAGAGCACACATTTCATTCCCCTCTATCATATCCCTTAATGTGCAACTGTCAAATTAGCCCAAAACAAAATATAACAAAAACTGTTATGCGCGCGCATTAAATGACAAAATACTAACAAACGACAATTTAAACGGAAATAAACAACTGCTGTTAAAAGTGTCAACTTTGTTGTTGACTACAACAGCAGCAGCAACAAAAACAACAACAATAACACTGCTATTGCCGGTGTGTAGCGCAATTTGTTCATGTCAACAAACGGGGTGTGTGTGTTATGTGTAAATCCCTTTTATGATCATGATGGTGATGATGATGGTGATGCTGTAATGCAATGTAATTGGCAAAATTTGTTAACCCTTTGGGGGAGTGAAAAACGGAAAAGAGGGGGTATAAAACAATGTAACAAAAATGTAACTTCATTGTCATGGAAAGAGTTTTCTAAATTCCTTGCATTAACTATTTCTAAAAAAAGTCCTCTCTTTTAAACGTGAGAATACATAAAACGCTTTTTGATGGGCTTAAGTCATCGGCTGGCTCTTTCGGAAAAGAACAAAGGAGTGTAGGGTCGAAATCGAACTAAGTCACCTTTAAGGTGGGAGTACATAAAACACTTTTTTGACTGACTTCGGCTGGCTGCTTCGTACACGAACAAAGGAGTTTTAGGTTATCTTAGTTCGATTTCGGCCCTAGGATCCTTTGTTCTTTTCCGAAGAAGCCAGCCGATAACTTAAGCCAGTCAGAAAATATTTTTAAAAATACACGACTTGATGGTCTTTGAAAAAATATTTTTAAAAATACACGACTTGATGGTCTTTGAAAAAATATTTTTTAAACTAATCCACGCTAGGATAGTTATTGAAAAAATATTTTTTAAACAAATCCACGCTAGGATAGTTATTGAAAAAATATTTTTTAAACTAATCCACGCTAGGATAGTTATTGAAAAAATATTTTTTAAACAAATCCACGCTAGGATAGTTATTGAAAAAATATTTTTTAAAAAAATCCACGCCATGATAGTTATTGAAAAAAATATTTTTTAAAAATCCACGCCATGATAGTTATTGAAAAAAATATTTTTTAAAAATCCACGCCATGATAGTTATTGAAAAAAATATTTTTTAAAAATCCACGCCATGATAGTTATTGAAAAAAATATTTTTTAAAAATCCACGACTAGTTGGTCTTAAAAAGAATATTTTTTTAAAAAAATCCACGCCTTGTTAGTTTTTGAAAAAAAAAGTATTTTTTTTAATACCCCAACAAGATGGTCTTTGAAAAAAATATTTTTTTTTAAAAAATCGACGCCATCACATTCTTTATTTTTTTTTTAAATCGACACCATGATAGTCTTTTGAAATATATATTTTTTTTACAAAATCCACGCCTTGTTGGTCTTTGAAAAAAAAGATAATTTTTTAAAAAATTGGTCTTTGAAAAACAAAATATTTTTTTTTAAAAAATCTACGCCTTGTTGGTTTTTGGAAAAAAAATATTTTTTTTAAAAAATCCCCGCCTTGTTGGTCTTTGAAAAAAATAATTTTTTTTTAAATCCACGCCTTGTTGGTCTTTGAAAAAAATATATTTTTTTAAATCCACGCCTTGTTGGTCTTTGAAAAAAATATATTTTTTTAAATCCACGTCTTGTTGGTCTTTAGAAATTTTTTTAAAAATCCACACCTTGTTGGTTTTTAAAAAAATATTTTTTTAAAAAATCCACGTCTTGTTGGTCTTTGAAAAAAATATTTTTTTAAAAAATCCACGCCTTGTTGGTCTTTGAAAAAAATATTTTTTTAAAAAATCCACGCCTTGATGGTCTTTGAAAAAAATACAATCCTTAGAAAATATAGTTTTATAAAATCATCTTTTCTTTTAAAAATACTACGTACCCCATGGGTTAATATAACACTTATTGGCATTTGTTTGTTATTGTTTTAAAAAATTATGAATAATAATTTGAAAGTATGCCAAGAGTAGTACTTTGCTCTGTGGCACATATTGGCTAATAGCCTGCTCCGTAGGCTACCCTTCCCAAGCAGAAAATAAACATTTTTGTGGTATTTGTTGTAATTCCAAGTGCGTATTCATTGCTCGTAAATGTCAATTATTTTGTTTTGAAAAATAACAGAAAACAACAAATAACACCAGAAGAGGGTGGTTTACAAAATAAAATTCAACCGCACACACACGGAATTGGGGTTGCTGGCAGGGTACTCCCTGCCATTCTAGGGCAGTGCGTGACCTACCCTTTAAAATATGGAATCATGAGAGTGGCGCGGCCCTAACCCCCTTCTTTTTGGAATTGAAAACTATGTCACTTAAAATGTTTTGGGAGACACCGAACGGACAATTTGTGGGAATTTGAAAATGTGTGCCATAATTAATTATTTAAACGGTATTATTTTCTTCGACAACAATGACAATTGTAAGAATTGCTTTGAATTGTTGAAATCGAATGGAAATAGATTTCAAATTTCCTAAATATTCAATTACGTCCAGTTATCAATCCCCCCTGTTAAATGCTTTTGATATCTACATATTTATAAATAATTAATTGCCACTACACTGAGGGAAAAATCCCGTTGCGAAATCAAGCACGTATGTTGTCATTTTCGCAACGACCCGTTGTTATATTTTTCAACAACGGCTGTTGGTGAATTGTGCACGAACGTGCTCAAATTGACACCGAGACGTGGTCAACTTTCGGTACCAACAACAGCCGTGCTTAATTTGTCCATTTGTAATATTGGTAATTGCAGCCGATTACACACGAGTAAAAAATGACAACGGTGGTGCATGATTCACACACGGTCGTTGTCAATATGACACCGGTCGTGTATGAATTATGCACCACCACCTGCATAATGATGCACCACCGTTGTTACTTTGTACACCGACGTGCATGAATCGTACACGATCGTTGCCATTTTAGCAACTACCGTGTATGAATCATGCACCACCGTTGTCATTTTTTTTACTCGTGTGCAATCGGCTGCATATTTACCATTTTTTCCGTGTTATTGAAAGAGAAAGGACGCATTGTGCAAAAAATTTATTGAAAATGAATAATAATTCGCAAGATCCTCAAAATATCATTGGTGAGTTGTTAGAAATCGATGGCAATATTGTTGTGGTTCGCGATACAAACCATTGCAGCAGTCAAGATGCGGAAAACAATGAGGACGATTATATGTTAAGGGAGTTCTTAAAAGGAATAAATATGGAGTCGCTTTTTGAACAATTAAAAGGTAAGTAAATAAAAATGAATTTTTCAGTTAATCAGTGTAATTAACAAAGAATTTTCTTTTTTGTTCTTTTAGCATCACATGTAACATTTCGCAGCTTGCAGTACTTGAAAAAAGAAGATTTAAAGGAAGCAGTGCCACCATTGGGACTGCGTGTTGAATTCAGAGAAAAGCTCTTTGCTTGGAAAAAACGAAAGGTACGTATTATTTGTTTTACAGAGTTGAACTCAGTATTAATATTGTCATAACAATAGCTCGGGATTGATGACGAAACTATGTCAGTTCCATCTGAAATAGGTGAATGGTGGAAACGCAACGAGACACCTGCAAGTACTCCTGGTACTCCCGACACTACAGGTTCGAACTGCTCAAAAGCCAAAGGAATTTTGTCAGAGGTAAGGTAAGAGTAATATTTGTGTAAGCATAGTTAATGTAGTTTTTTTATTTAATATAGGATCTAACGGAATTGTTAACACATACCTCGAAGGGGAAACTAGCGCTTGAATGTAGTAGCGTTAATAAGAAATTAAGTGACGAGCAAAGAGATGATATAATTAATATAATTATTGAAGATATTTTAACCAACAATGTTACTCTTTACACTCAAGACTATATGCGCATATTGGATGAAATTTGTTCCGTTTTTCCTCTTGAAAACGAAATGAGGGTAAGATTAACAATATAAACAACGTATCTGATTATGTAGTTTCTTAACTTATAATATGTCTTTATTTTTAGGATTATTATTACATTTCAAGAAAAGGAAAGAACAACGCAAGCGGAAAACTTTATGCCAAGTATAGAAACAAGAAGTCCAAAAGAATAAAGCTTTTGATTTCCGAGCCTAGCACAAGCAAAGCAGCAACTCACACATCTCCTAATTTTTGTAACAAAGATGTTCCCGAAATTGATGAATCAGTTGAAAATTCATTGAAAGCTTCCTTACTAAGAGAATGTAATGATTGGGGATCGATCTGCGAAAAATGGAAAAGATCTTTTAACATACGGCAAAGAGATATAAAAAATTTAAGTAGCCATACATTTCTCCTTGAATGGACGAAGTTGTCCGATGCAAGAGCTTCAGAATTGGTAAGTAGCCATGAGCTATTTATTTGTATATGGATACTAATGTTTCGTTTTAGGTCAACATTGATTTCGATATTATGTATCCACAGAAAGGCAATCTTCTACTTTCTAAATGGGACCAATTTAAGAAAAAAATTTACAATTATTATGGGAAAAATATTCATAACGAACATTGCAAACAACTCTTCGCAAATGTTTTGACGGCAAGCAGCATAGGTAAATTTTAATTCCTGAAGATAACTTAGAACCAAATGTTATCATTAATACGCATACCATCGAAGATTTGGCAAAAGAGGAATATTGTTACAAAAAAAGTAAGCCAGTTTTAAATTACCAAAATTGCAAAGTGTCTGATGACATTTTTTTTAAGGGAACTAGGTATAAAAAAAACTATTATTTAGCAACAAATAATGCCGCAATTGAACTTTTCAAAATTAAACATTTAATAATTGAAAATGAAAATGTTTACATTTTATGTAACCAAGTAAAAGTTAAAAACTTTGATTACCATTTACAATCGTATGAAGTTGGTTCTCTGAATGAGGATACAATTTTTTTAATACCAATTTTAGATTTTATTACTTACCCATTTCACTTATATCCTATGAATAATGGAAAAGTTTATTTCAGATTTAAGTTAATTTAATTTGTTTCTATACATTGAATATATGTAATTCGAATTGTTTTGTTAAATCAAATATGTATTTATATTGAATTTATGTAATTGGTTTCGTTCAATAAAATACTTTTCAAAAAATGTCGTTTCTTCTACTAAGGGTATAAAATGGAAAAGGAACGGATATCAAAAAATGACCACCATTGATTTCAATCTGACAACGGGCGTTGACAATCCGACAACGGAGCGTTGACAATCTGACAACGAAGCGTTGACGATCTGACAACGAAGCGTTGACAATCTGACAACGGGGCGTGCTCGAAATGACCACGTATGTGCTCATTTCATGCACATCTGTTGTTGAAATCGTTGCCAAAATCTCGGTGTCAAAATGACAACAGCGTGCTCATTTTGACACCAAACGTGGTTGATACACTATCATACACGGATGTGGTCATTTCATACACGGATGTTGTCATTTTTTCTCTGGGTGTAGGTCACACATGATTTGAATTCTTATGAGATATTTTAGATAATAGTAATTACATTTTGACGTAGATATTAATAATTATGGTACAGGAAGGAGCTATTAGTGGTTGGTCAGTAAGTAGTTACTAAAGGCAAATTAATTAATAATTTTCTTTATAGCACCTGTCGATTTGGTAACAGTTTGGAAAAATATATTTTAAAACATTACGAACATAATCTTGTAAATATATATTTTTGTATATATATATTTGTTTTTATATACAAAAATCCCATCCTTGTGGTCTTTGAGAAAATATAATTTATATTTTTAAAAATCCTTGATCCCTCAAAAAAAATATTTCTTTAAATTTTTTGCCACTTGAAACAATATTCCGCCCGAATAATGAATATCCGAGCGGAATTCCTTTCCCACAAAAAGCATTTTCCTAGATAAACAATTCCTCTCCAATCACCAATAATTGAACAAAAAATAATTAGTGAAGATGGAAACGTGAATGTGTCTTTTTCGTACCTTGTGTAACCTATGTTTGCATAAATTGGTGCAAAATTTGAAGTGTTTTTGTTTTGTTTTAGGCTTAAGAGTTTAGACACAACATTTTATGCCGGTTAATCCGGTTTATACCATCAAAATATATCTTCTCACGATGGAATTCAAAGTTTTTGGAAAATATATTATTTTTAAATCCATGCCTTGGTGGACTGTGGAAAACTAGAGTTGTTAGTTTAGTAAAAACTCTTCGATTTTTTTTCGAAATTTTTCCAAAGGTAATTATTTTTACCCTGATCCCGGGAAATTATTTTTTTCTTGGTGGACGGATCTGGAACCCCAGATTTTTGACCCGACAGTCGGAAAATTCTTTGGAAAAAATATTTAAAAAAAATCCACGCCTTGATTGTCTTTGGAAAAAATATATTTTTTTAAATCCACGCCTTGATGGTCTTTGGAAAAAATATATTTTTTTTAAATCCACGCCTTGATGGTCTTTGGAAAAAATATATTTTTTTAAATCCACGCATTGATGGTTTTTGGAAAAAATATATTTTTTTAAATCCACGCCTTGATGGTCTTTGGAAAAAATATATTTTTTTTTAAATCCACGCCTTGATGGTCTTTGGAAAAAATATATTTTTTTAAATCCACGCATTGATGGTCTTTGGAAAAAATATTTAAAAAAAATCCACGCCTTGATTGTCTTTGGAAAAAAGTTTTTTTTTAAATCCACGACTTGATGGTCTTTGGAAAAAAAAAATTTAATCCACGACTTGATGGTCTTTGGAAAAAATTTTTTTTAATCCACGACTTGATGGTCTTTGGAAAAAAAATTTTTTTTTTAAATCCACGACTGTGTGGTCATTGGAAAAAAAAATTTTTTTAAATCCACGACTTGATGGTCTTTGAAAAAAATTTTTTTTTTTTAATCCACGACTTGATGGTCTTTGGAAAAAAAAAATTTATTAAATCCACGACTGTATGGTCTTTGGAAAAAATATTTTTTTTTATAAAAATCCACGCCTTGATGGTCTTTGAAAAAAATAATTTTTTTTAAATCCACGACTTGATGGTCTTTGGAAAAAATATATATATTTTTTTTAAATCCACGCCTTGAAGGTCTTTGAAAAAAATATTTTTTAAAAAATCCACACCTTGACGGTCATTGGAAAAAATCTTTTTTAAAAAATCCACATGTTGATGGTCATTGGAAAAATTATTTTTTTAAAAAATCCACGCTTTGATAGTCTTTGGTATTAAAAAAGTATTATTTTTAAATCCACGACTTAAAGGACTTTAAAAATATTTTTAAAAAAAATCCACGCCATGATGGTCTTTGAAAAAAAAATATTTTTTGAAAAATCCACGCCATGATGGTCTTTGAAAAAAAAATATTTTTTGAAAAATCTACGCCTTTGTGGTCTTTAAAAATTCCTTTTTTTTAAAAATCCACGCCTTGATTGTCATTGGAAAAATTATTTTTTTTAAAAAATAAATTATTAAATTATTTTTTTGAAAAAAAAATATTTTTTGAAAAATCTACGCCAAGATAGATGGTCTTTGAAAAAATATTTTTAAAAAAAATCCACACCATGATGGTCTTTGAAAATTTTTTTTTTTTTTTAAATCCACGACTTAAAGGACTTTGGAAAAAATATTTATTTTAAAAATCCACGCCAAGATGGTTTTTAAAAAATATTTTTTAAAAAAATACACACCATTATGGTCTTTGAAAAAAAAAAATTTAATTCCACGACTTAAGGGACTTTGAAAAAAATATTTTGTAAAAAAATCCACGCCATGAAATAAAATGATGAAAAAAATTTTTTTTTATAAAAAATCTCTTTGAAGAATGTTCTTTTTTAAAAAATCTACTCCTTTAATTCTTTGAAAAATTTCCTTTTTAAAAAAATCCACGACTTAATGGTCTTAAATTTTTTTTTTAAATCCACGTTTCTTTTAGTCCTCAAATTTTTTTTCAAATCCACTTTTTAAAAATACTTATAAAAAATGTCCATAGTCTTTTTTTTTCGAAAAAATATTATTCTTAATATTAACCAAAATTAATGTCCTTTAGGTTTTTTTTAAAGTCCGAGTTTTTATAGTCCTTGAATTTTTTTTTTGTTTTTTATCCACGAAAAAAATAAACAAAAAAATATTTATAAACAAATCCCCATTTTTTATCCTCAAGAACATATCCGTTTTAGACAGGTCCTTGAAATTGTTTTTCAAAAAATCCACGTTTAGTTATGTTTTTTTTCAACATGCATATTTTTTAATCCACGTTTATTTTTGATCTTTGAAACTATTTTCGAAAACAATCCACGTTAGTTTAGTTCACGACCAAGAATATATTTCAAAAAACGACACCTTTAGTTGGTACTTTAAAAAAATTATTGAACTCACGACTGCGTAATTTTCGAGAAAAATATTCTTTTTAATAATATTTATTTTTTATTATATATTTTATTTTATATATTTTTATTATTTTATTATTAATTTTTAATATATTACATTTTTTTCTTATTATTATTTTTTTATTTACTTTAAAAATTAGACTTTTTTCTCGTTTTTTTTTTTCTTCAAAAAACTGCGTTTGTAAAATGTGAACGCGCCAACACGAAAATTGCAACTGCACCGCCGGTATTTCGAATTCAAAAGATTAGTTTAAAGTTCGTTAATTGTTTTTATTGTTTTTGGTTTGTTTTGTATTGTTTTGCCTTAACACTGGCTATCGGCCCTTCGTCTCTGTGTCTCTCTCTCTTTCTCTCTGGATGATGGATAACGACGAACGGCTGGATGTATGGCTTGCTGGAGTGTTGAAACTGTTGTCATTTGAAAATAAAACAAATTCAAATCGTCATGAGGTGTTTGTTACTTGCTAAAGTTTTGAGAAAAAATTCAAATTGTTTTTCAAATACCCATCCACCTCCATGCGGTCAGCCGGTACAGCATCCCTACAGTCAGCGGGTTTAGTTATTTACTTGAAGCACAAAAAACCACGTTTTTGTTTACAAAATGCAAAATCTATATTTGTTTAAGATGATGTGTTATTGAGGCAAATTCAAATAAAGACAACAAAAACGAAAAAAACAACAATAATAGTGTCAAGTTAAGGTGTTATGAAGTGCAGCGGGTCTTATTAGCAGGTAGTTATTAATACAAAATTATTACGAATGTAAAATTTGCAATTGATATGACGATAATGACGCAGATACCATAATTGTGGAACAAGAGTCATGGAAGGGATTAAAAAGGAAACCTTAAAACAGTTGCCAAACTTATGGTTTATGGTTTCGTAAAATCGTGTCAAATTACAAGGAATTTTAAGAGCTCGTAGGAACACAGTTGTTTTTTTTGGCATGACCTTAAACTGCTATCAGACGATATGGGTTTTATATATGTAGTGCCAAATTTTCCATATGTAGAAGTCGGCACGCATGGACGACATTTCAGTGGTGAAAAACATGGGTAAACTACATATGTACTTTTTCGATCACAGCGAGCCCTATTTTCATGGGAAACATACAATATAATCAAAGGTGTTGTTTGATGTGTGAAATATAATCACAATGTAACCAAAGGTAATAAAACAAGTATAAAAGCAGTAAGTTCAGCCGGGCCGAACTTTGACTAACCTCCACCATTTGAAAATAATTTGGAAATTTTCAAAAAATCAAATCAGTTAAAAGTTCTGTTTAAATCTTAAAAATACCGAATGTAGCCTTTATATTAGGGTCTATACGACAACGTGGATCTGTTTAGGCAACTTTTGTCATAGGTCATTGCAATATTCAAAAACGAAACTTGAAAGAAAATCCGGTGAATAATGTCCTTAAAAATAATATGGAACTTAGGGCGGTGCCGATATATGGGGACTACACGAAGAGGTGGACCTGCATACAAAATTGTTTGGCATAGGCTGTAGTACCCATTACGAACTTTAAATACCAAATTTGAAACAATTCCGATGAATAATGTCGATAAAATCATCAAAATACCGAATATAGGGAGTTACCGTTAATGGGGGCTATGCGAAGACCTCGACCTGCATAGACAATTTTCTGTCACAGGCTGCAGTACCGATTAGGAATATCAAATACGAAATTTAAGACAATTCCGGCAAATAATGTCGCTAAACCATCAAAATACAGAATATCGGGAGGTACCGTTGTATTGGGGATATAGGAGAGTGTGGACCTGCATAGACAATTTTCTGTATTAGGCTGTAGTACCCATTACGAACATCAAATACCAAATTTGAAACAATTGCGGTAAATACTGTCGCTAAAATCATAAAAATACCGAATATCGAAGGGTACCGTTGTATGTGGGCTATACGATATCGTGGACCTCTACAGACATTTTTCTTCCAGTGGCTAAAGAGCTTTGAAAGAACTTCTAGTATGAATTTTTAGTTAATTCCATTGAATAATGTAGCTAAAATCATTAAAATACCGAATAACGCGAGGTACCATTATATCGGGGGTATACGATATCGTGACCGAACTTGACCTGCCTCCATACCATGATCTGTGCAAAATTGTAGCGCTTATTTGCCTGACTTAAGTCATCGGCTGGCTCCTTCGTAGAGAAACAAAGCAAACAAAGGAGTTTTAGGTTGACTTAGGTCGATTTTGGCCCTAGGCTCCTTTGTTAATTTCCGATGACTTAAGCCAGGCAAATAAACGCTCTACGTATTCCCACCTTAGCAAAATATTTATATTCTTGATCAGCGTAAAATTCTAAGACGATTTTGCCGATTTTGACGATTTTTTTAGATTCAAAACAAATAAATAAGCGCTTTATTTATTCCCACCTTTAAGCCTAAATTATTATTCCGATAAATAGAATGACGAACTTAATATATACCCTCCATACTATGTAGGGTGGAGGGTATAAAAACATATAGCAAGAATTATAAAGGTGAGAGTACATAAAAAGCTTTTTTTTTTTGACTGGCTGGCTTCTTCGTAGAGGAACAAAGGAATTTTAGGTTGACTTAGTTCGATTTTTGCCTTAAGATCCTTTGTGATCCCAGTCAAAAAGCGTTTTATGTATTCTCACCTGTATACCATGGTAGAAGAATATATTGATATGTCAAAAATTTTAAAATGTTTTATCAGAAATAAGTAGATTTTTAAAGGTTTTCTTATGCGACACTAGTCGGATGTTATATATGCATTTTCAACAATTTTTACGAATTGCAATTTTTTGATTGCAGAATTAAGGAGGTACAGTCATATGTTTACAATTTTTTCAATATTATTCATTTGACAACATGTCACTGTCAAAATGTATATTTTTTAAGTTTTTTTAAGCAATTTTATACACACAAATCAGAGATGGAAACCTGTTTTCTATGCCATGTAATTTGACAAGGTAAATTACAGAAAATGCAGAAAAATTCTACCATGAAATTTTTCATTCATAATTTTCAATTCCAAAATTGATTTGACAGTTCATTGTCCCAGCAGCTGTGTGGATACGTCTACAATGACGTATATGCAATAGAATTGACCGATGAAATTCACTCGCTTAAATGAGTCTAAACGTACTTTTATTTTAACAAATTTGGTAAGTTCACACATGTATACAAATATGTGGGTAGTGCACTCACCTTACACATTTTATGGCTCCAGTTTACTTATTTGGAAAATAATAACCGTCAAATTAAAAAAATCTTGAATTGTGCAAAAATGGTTTATAAGAATTGATATAAAGAAATATTTTATTAAAACATTAAGGTCAAAGGCAATATAAATCAAAGTGTCATTGAAATATTTTTTAGTCCTATAAATTATATTAAATAGGCAGAAAAAACTGGAAATATTCATCAGAAAATTATGTATTTTAGAACAAACACTGGTGACAACAAGACATGATAAAATTCTCCAAAGATCAAAAGAAAAAGAAACCTTTTTTTGGAATTAAAAAAAACTAGGAAGCAATCTCAACGCGTGCATTCTGTCATAGCCATGGCCTCCATCGCATGTTTAATGCGTTTCTATTATTGCATTATTAACATATTTAAAAGCAATGTTTTTTCGGTAGCTAATCGACACCGCTTAATTAGAATATATGTGCGAAATAAATAGAAGCAATTAAAAAACGAAACAAAAACACTTATCGGCAAACATTGTCAAAGGTTGTCACATCATTTTGCATTGCTTATTGACGTGCCAGAAAGCAATTAAAATTCAAATGAAAATAACATAATTGTTGTGCAATTTAATTAACTAAATGAGAAAAAAATACGTATTTGTCAAATTCTTTATCGAGATTTTGAGATTAGATTTAATCGGGGATTTTAATAGGAAATTAGTAAAAGTGATTTTGGCTAAGTTTTTCAACCTTTGTTGTACCATTAATATGTTAGGGAATTGAAGTAAGAAGAAGAATAAAAGCATTTTTTTATTCGAACTTGTTTTAATAAAACACGTCATTTAGATTGTCAATTCTTTTGATATGTCAAATAAAGGACAAATCTTTTTAATAGGAAATTGGTAAAAGTGACTTTGGATAAGTTTTTTAATCTTTTTTGTACCATTAATATAGAGGTGAAATAAAAAAGAAGAAGAATTAAATAATTTTTTATCCGTTTTAATAAAACGTGTTTTTTGACTGACTTAAGTCATCGGCTGGCTTCTTCGGAAATGAACAAAGAAGTCTAGGGCCAAAATCGAACTTAGTCAACCTAAAACTCCTTTGTCCCTCTACGAAGATGACTTAAGCCAGTCAAAAAAGCGTTTTATGTATTCTCACCTTTAGTTGTCGGTTAAGGCATCCAGAATTATTCACTTGAATACCACGATTATTATTTCATTTTATATTTATACAACAATTTGTAAAATGTTCAAAAGGGAAAACTATCAGTGGGTTCGTTTTATTGACACAAAGCAGGAATGTGGCGGCAAATGTATAACATTTACCATAAACAAATACAATGCACAACAAATATTAACATACTAATAAAATATTTGTAAATAATGACACAACAATAAAAGACGAATTTGACAGAATCAAAAAGGTCAACTATTTATTTGTTTGTTTTTTTTTTTTTTTTTTTTTTTTTTTTGTTTTTCTTAGCAAAGACAGAGGTTTAGTTAACATCTGGAAAGGAAATTGTAAGATGTAAAAGTTAAACTAGTTGCTGTTGTTTTACGGAAATTCGTCATTTATTTGATATCAATCAATAATAATCAAGTAAGTCTTAGTCTCAACACATTTTATTAATTATTTCACACTACAAAGAATCCTTTCCTTTTATTGCTATTAATCTGTTAAAATTAAATTATATCTATTAATATGAACTCATGTTTTAAAAAATATATATTTTTTCCTTAAAGCATTTATTTCAGTGAAATTATTTATAAAAGTTAAAATTATTTAATAATTAACCGCTTCTTTGTTGCTTGTGCTTACTGAACACAGCCCTTTTTTTCATTTGAAGCCCAGTTGCCGTTATTGACATTTTTCATATGTGTTTTAACCTGTTGATCCCTTGAGTGGTTCATTTTTCAAACTGGTGATCCCTAACCATGTTCGTTTCTTAATCAATAGATCCCTTGCTTGGAAGCGTGTGGAGCTTGTTTACGGTAATTTCGTGTTATTTTATGAATAAAATCAGTTTTTTGTAAATGTATATGGAAAATGAATAAGCGTGTGTGCGGAGTGGACTTAAAGATGATCCTGACTGGACCTGAAAGCTCCCCAGTAAAGGAAGAAGTGTGTGGATAACGAGGTGATCCTCAAAAGAAGTTGAGATATATTCAAGCATGTGCTATAAAGGATGGGCTGTGGAACTTCAATAAGAGAGGATTTAGATGATCCCAATATGAATTGAAAGCTCTCCAGCAGAGAAAGAACTGTATGGATAATGAGATGACCCCCAAATGAAGTTGAGATCTATCTAGGCATGTGTCTATAGGATGGGCTGGGGAACTGCAATAAGAGTGGATTGGACCTGTAAAACGCCTAAACTGAACTTAAAGCCCTTCAAAGAAAGAAAAGGTTGAATGAGAATGTGGGGAGGTGGACTAGAAGACCCGTAGATGCCCATTCCAACATTTGACAATGGTGTCATCTCTTGAAAATCAAAGGTAGACCTTGGAGTCTTGGAACCAAAAAAAAAAAACTCCTTAAAGGATTGAATTGGATCTGGATGACTCTTTAATTAAAGATGAAAGCTTAGATCTATCCAATAATGTGGCCATGACGTCATCTCTTGAAAGGTGGAGTCCTGTGAATTTTATCAACAAATATGGATCTCCAAAAGGTTGTGTGTCGGATTATCCGAATACCAAGCATCTATTCTCAACAAAAGTGACGATTGAATTTAATATCCTAACTTACCAAAGCCCTGGACAACAGAAAATAGGATAGGACTTACACCAGACAATAGTGAGTCCAACCACCAAAATTCTCTTCGATAGCCTAATTTCTAGAATCTCTATTACTTCTGCCTCCTGGGATTTGCTACCCCTTATAGAAATCATACACCAACTGCCGATTAACATCCAAATCGAGCAGCAATTTCTCTAACACTTTCCCTGTCTGGCAAAACTTCGATCCGATCATATATAGGTGCCGCTCCTACCTTCTAAAGCTCCCACTCGTTTGTTCATTTAGACATCCATCTAATCATTCAAATCCACCTCCTATATATCTATAATCAAAGCCCCATATTCTAATATTTGCACACTAATAATTCTTGTTCCTTTCTATTTTTTCCAGCGAAACTGTGACATCAACATAGACTCAAATTGCAGATTGGGGTGAAATTAAATTGAAAGTATTTCAAAACTAAGTGCAATTATTGTTAAACAATAACTCCATAAAATGGCTCCACCCACCGAGGAAGAAGTCAAACAAAAACAATGGTCCGAACAAGAACGCCTTGAGTTGGCAGCAAAACTCGATGCAGAACTGGATGATTTCATCAATAGTCTAGAACGAAAACGTTATGAAGAAGGCTGGCCAGAGGATCGTTGGCAGGAGGAAATGGACAAACATCCGTTCTTTATGAAGCGTGAACCCCAGCCAGGCGATGAGATACATCCAATGTTTGAAGGATTACAGAAACTGAAGTATGATCCTGAAGAGAACACCTGTGAAGAATTGGCTCTAAATTACAAAGAAGATGGTAATTTCTATATGAAGCACAAAAAGTTCCGTATGGCTGTTTACAGTTTTACCGAAGGCCTCAAGGCCAAGTGTGAGAAGCCTGAGGTGTTGTCTGTGCTGTATAACAATCGTTCAGCAGCTCAGTTCTTTTTGAAGAATTATAGGTGAGTGAAGAATAGACACAAGATTTCCTAAGGAACTTTTAACAATATTTCCTTCCTTTCAGATCCTCCCTGGCTGATGCCCAAAAAGCCTTAGAATATAACCCCGAATATGCCAAAGCACGCTGGCGTGCCGCACAATGTGCCTATGAGCTGGAAAGATTTGATCTATGTACAGAACTGTGTGAAGAAATTATTGAACGTGATCCCAACAACCAAGACGCCCAAAATCTATTGAAAAAGAACAAAACCAAAAAACAAGACATTGAACGAAACAAACGCAAAGAAATGGCATTGGAAAAGAAAAAATTACAACGTTTCCATAATCTCTTGAGGGCATTGGATGAGCGAAAAATTAAATTTGATGATATTAAACCGGGACGACCGATAAACGAAGAATTGCTGAGACCAAAATTTTTACCTCTCGAAGACTATCCAGTGCACTTAGATGAAGATAATACGACATTGGTGTGGCCAGCGGCTTTCCAATATCCTGAATTTATGTACAGTGATTACCAGCAACAACTGTCCGAGGAGGCAACGTAAGTTTTGAGAGAATTTTTTGTTGATTTGAAATGATAATGTGTTATGTTTTATTTCCCTAGTATGCTTGATGTTTTAGATGCCCTCTTTGCCGAACCTTTACCCTTGGACAAAACCGGCAGCTATGGAGCGGATAAAGTAAATGTCTATTATGAAAATCGCAAGGTTGGCTGTGTCCACAAAGTCAAACTGGAAAAGACCATCAAGGAGATTTTGCAAGAAAAGGGGTAAGGACTTGGAATCTTTATTTGAATTGCTAAGAGTTCCAAACTTTTTATGTTTTTGATCTTCCTTTTTTACAGTTTCTTTGTTACTGGTGGCTCTTTATTGTTCTATATCGTGCCCAAGGATTCACACACAGAAAAGATATTCGTGAATGAAGAAAGACGTTGTTTATTTAAGTAAAAAGATTTTAAACAAATAAATTTAATTTAGTTAAAAATGTACAAAATTGTTAATAACTTATTTTGCAAGGTCGTCTTTTGGAGGGGCAGAAGATTGTCTGATCTGCTGCAGCAAGACCAAATGGTCTTTCCACAGAATACGTGAAGGTCTTCTCATAAAGAAGTCGTGAAGGTCTTCTCATATAAGACGTGAAGGTCTTCTCATAGAAGACGTGAAGGTCTTCCCATAGATGACATGAAGGTCTTTTCATAGAAGACATGCAGGTCTTCTCATAGAAGACATGAAGGTCTTCTCATAGAAGACATGAAGGTCTTCTCATAGAAGACATGAAGGTCTTCTCATAGAAGATATGAAGGTCTTCTCATAAGGTGCCCTAACCCCATTTTTTATACCAAACCTAACCTCAAAGCAAAATTGAATTTTATTTTTTTTTTTTTTCAATATCAAAGCTTTTTATTAGTAATCACCAGTATAATATATTATTTTGTATATAATATATTTATGTATACATGTTTTATATATATTTTACAACAATTAAGCAAAAAAACTTGCAAATATTTTAAAAGCGTTACAAATATAAAATATATGCGATTTTTATAAATCTATAAAGTAATCTTTTTACTATATATGTATATATCTGTTGGATCGAGATTGGGTTTCAAATCTTACAATAGTTTTGGTGGTATTTTCATTATTGTTACGACAACAATTTATATATTAGTTTGGAGCAAATGCATTTTCTTAAGTCTTATTTGTTTAATTGATACAATTTTAATTAATTATATATTTTTTAATTGAAACAGTTTTTTTGAACCGTTACGGAAATACAGTGGATGAAAAAGAAATAATATAACCTCTCCATGGTGGAGGATAAAATTAATAATAAATTATGGAAACAATTTTTGAGGTTAAAATACTAGAAAAATCTATAGATTTAAAAAAAAAAAAATTATTTTGATAATAATTTAGTATTTTACTTTACATATAGTTACAATAGCTACTGTAAAAATTAAAATTATAAAATTAAGTAATAAAATCGTTGGAAAATAATAATTATTTTTTTATAGGTTTTTACAATATGTTTTTTATTTTAAAACTTAATTGCAATAGCATTATAAGTATATATTTCTCAATATTTTATAATAAAATGAATTTAAAAAAAAAATATTTTTTCCTAATATAATCAAAACAATTTTTTTAATTTTCTTAAATTATTACAAGTAAAATGAATATGATTTTTTCCATTATTATTTCTTTTTTTATTATTATTATTTTATTATTATTATTATTACTATTATTGTTATTATTATTATTATTATTACAATTATTATTATTCTTATTGTTATTATTGTTCTTATTATTATTATTATTGCTATTATTATTATTGTTATTATTATTATTATAATTACTATTATTATTATTATTACTATTATTATTATTATTACTATTATTATTATTATTATTATTATTATTATTATTATTATTATTATTATTATTATTATTATTATTATTATTATTATTATTATTATTATTATTATTATTATTATTATTATTATTATTATTATTATTGTTATCGTTATTATTATTATTTTTATTATAATTATTTTTATTATTATTATTATTAATATTATTATTATTATTATTATTATTATTATTATTATTATTATTATTGTTATTGTTACTATTATTATTATTATTATTATTATTATTATTATTATTATTTTTATTATTATTATTATTATTATTATTATTTATATAATTTTTATTATTATTATTATTATTATTATTATTGTTATTTCTATTATTTATACATTATTTATTATTTATCTCCTCTCCCCAATTAACCTTATTTCTAAATTAATTTCGATATGTTTACGTTTAGTAGTTCTTATTTTAGGAAAAAGCCTTCTTTCAAATTTAAAGTTCTGCAACCAAAAGGATAGTATATAAAAATAATTCATAGACAACAACAAGCACAAATAGTCAACAATACTTATAGATATATTTAATTTTTTCCTTATTTTTTTTGAGTAAAATTATTTTTAAAGAAAGGCCAACCCAAATTTTGAAAAGTCTATTTTAAAGCAGTTTTGTAATATTTTGTTTTCTAATGAAATATTCTAACTAAAATTTATTGATATTTTTTATGAAATATTTCAGATATATTTTAGTGCATTAAAAGGCCAAATTAAATTTAAAAATAATTTTTAAAGCATTTTTATAATGAGTTACTTTTTTTAATGAAATGTTCTAACTGAAAATATTTTAAAAAAATTTCAAATAACTTTTTTTAATAATTTTTTGTAAGAAAATATTTTTTTTTTTAAATATTCTAATGAAATATTCTAACTATAATCTATAGATATTTTTTCATGAAATATTTAAGATATTATTTAGTACATAAAAAGGCCAAATAAAATTTTAAAATAATTCTTAAAGCTTTTTTATATTGAATTACTTTTTTTAATATTATATTCTAACTGAAAACATTTAAAAAAAAAATTAACTTTTTTCGAATAATTTTTTGTAAATAGATATTTTTTTTAAATAAAATATTGTAACTGAAAACATTTTAAAGAATTTTCAATTAATTTGTTTGAATATTTTTTTTGTTAAAATATATATATTTTTAAATATTTTCTATTTAACTAAAAATAAATTTGTATTCATAATTTGTTTTTATAATAAACTAACTAAACTTCTTTTTACATAAAAATGTCAAATTTAATGCTTCCAAATTTAATCTTTAAATTTGTTAAAAAAAAAATCCGATATATAATATGCATATACACGTTCTTGTAATTGAGCTTTTGATTTTATATGTAAATTTTCTTATAATTCTATGTTTTTCTTTCCTAATTAAAAAAAGAATCTTGTACCGAAGACGACAACAACAACCAATTTTGTAGGCATGCACATTTAAAGTATGTTTATATATAGGCTGGATTCACGTTACCTGATAAGTATTTATGTATTTTATGTAATCTAAATCTATGTGGCAGTTAAATTAGCATTATCATTAAGCAGGCAATTAAATAGATATGTAGAGTAAATTGTAGCATGAATTGCATATTATGATGGACATAACCTCACTTTTTTTTAGAAATGTAAATATTTCTTTAAACGTCTTGAAAAGAAAATAGAATTTGGACATATATTTTGGTGTCACATGTAATTCAAGGACTTATAGAGGATATTTTTAAAGGACCTAGGCAAATTAATAGATATGTAAATTGTAGCATGAATTGCATATTATGATCAACATAACCTCACATTTTTTTAAGAAAAGTGAATATTTTCCAACGCCTTGAAGAGAAAATAAACTTTGGACATATATTTTGGGTCACATGTAATTCAAGGACATTATAGTTTTTTTTTTCTTTTTAAAGGACCTATATTGTTTATTTTCAGAGACAACCAGGCTTGGATTTATTTATTAAAAAGGTTAAAAAGCTGTTTTCCAAATTCCAATATTTCTGGACTTTGAACTCACTTTTGTACTTATAGTAGACTGTCTTTTAAGGGTTCCAATCTGCATTTGGTTTAGTTTTGTTGGCCCTGTTATAAGACCTCCTTTTTATTTTCCGTCCTTAGTTACCAACCCGGTTGGGATTTCCTTCCAGGGCAGGAGATTGGACAAAACTTCTCATAGCTTGTAAGGAGGACACTTGAGACAATATTCACAGGTCGACATAATTGATTGATTTCAAACTTCGTGTGTCCGATTTCAACTCTGACGTACGTTATTTTGATTTGCTCCAGGTCTGTCCTTCTTGGTTTTCTATAAAATTTCTGTCTGACACCGCATTTAGCCAGCTAAAAGAGAATCCTCGTGTGGTCTGAAAAGGAGCACTTTTCACATGTCTTTCAACTGCTAAAAGCACAGTCGTCCATATTTGTTTCTAGGACCTATAAAAGGGAATTTTCTAAAGAATATCTTTCCAGGACCTAGAAAGAATCTTTTCCAAAGAAAATGTTTCCCGGTCCTATATTTCCGGACTTTGAACTCACTTTTGTGCTGACTTATAATAGGCGTTCCAATCATATCTTTTTGCTGTTTTCCGTCCTTATATACCAAACCGATTGGAATTTCCTCCCAGGTCGGTGATTGGACAATATTTCTCATAGCTTGAGGAAGGACACTTGTGACAACATTCACCATTAGGGTTCGGTTTGATTTTGGCCCATTCTGTCATTGGGTTCCTATAAGACTTGTGTCTGACAACACCCCATTTAGCCAGCTGGAAGAATATTACCTTGTGATATGAGATCAGATACCTTGCAATTGATATTAGCAGATTCTTCCATATTTAAGAGGGACCTATAAAAGAGGATTTTGTAGAGAATATCTTTCCAGGACCTGGAGAGAAATTTGTCTAAAAAATGTATTTTATTTCTTTAGATTCCTTCCAATTATTTCAAAGACCTATAAAATATGATTTTCTAGAGAATATTTTTCCAGGCCTCAGAGACTTTTCTAAGTAATGGATTTTATTTCTCAAAGACCAAATTTTGGGTTCAACTTTTTCAATTTTCTTCTCTAACAGGGAGCACTTTTCAGATTCCTTCCAATTGGTAATAATAGACACGTCCATATTGGAGAGGGTCACAACAAAAACGAAACGAGGATTTTCTAGAGAATATCTTTGCGGGGCCTAAATATAAACTTCTCTAAAAAATGGATTTTATTTCTAAAATACCAAAATTTAGGTTAATTTTTTTAATTTTTTTCTCTAACAGGAATCACTTTTCAGATACCTTCCAATTGCTATTAGCAGAGTTTTTCAAGTTGGAGAGGGTCACAAGAAAATTTATTTCAAGGACCTATAAAAGATAATTTTTTAGAGAATATCTTTCCAGGACCTAGATAGAAACATTTCTAAACAATGGATTTTATTTCTCAAAGATCAAATATTGGGTTCAACTTTTTAAATTTTCTTTTGTAACAGGGAGCACTTTCCACATACCTTCCAATTGCTATAAGCAGCGTCGTCCATATTGAAGAAGGTCCCAAGAACATTTATTTCAATGTCCTATAAAAGAGGATATTCTAGAGAATATATTTCCAGGACCTAAATATAAACTTGTCTAAAAAATGGATTTTATTTCTAAAAGATCAAATTTTGTGTTCAACTTTTTTAATTTTCTTCTCTAACATGGGGGCACTTGTTAGATTCCTTCCAATTGTTAATAACAGACTCGTCCATTTTGGAGAGTGTCACGGGAAAATATATTTCAAGGACCTACAAAATAGGATTTTTTAGAGAATATTTTTCCAGGACCTTGATAGAAACCTTTCTAAACAATGGATTTTATTTATTTTTTTAAATTTCCTTCCCTTTCTTCTGTTGTAAAAAATTCGTACCAAATAATAAGATTACGCTTCTCGTTGCCTTTAAAAATTCCCATTTAAGCTATTATACTTTGAGGTTATGTCTATTTGTTAAGAGGCCAAAACAAGCCATTTTCTTCAACATTCAATTTAATGTTTTTAAACTATAACTTATTTTTCTATACTCAATACTTCTTAGCTAAAAAAATCTGGCAGCTTTGTTTGTTTGTTTTTTTTTTTTTCAATATATAAGCTATAATACTGATGATAATCAAATTATTTAAAGTCTTTTTGTTAATTGACCTAACTATTATTAAATATAGAAAAGAAATAGAAACTAAAAAAAATTAAATATAAAAATGATACAACTTTTATTTTTCAAATAAATATCAAAAACGCATGTGATCACAATAAAATGAGAATTAAAATTAAAACGAGTATTATTATAAGTTTTTCAATTCTAATTTACATAAATAATGAAATAAAAACTTTAAATAATTGATTAAAATAAAAAAAGTTAAATGCTTGGAAGTTCTTTTTTTTGAGAGTTTAAATTCTTTTACAGAAATTTAATAAATTAAAGCTTTAAATTATTAAAAAAGATAACATTTTGTCGTGCAAAATCGGAATCGAAATCGAAATTCTCCCAGCTCAAAATTCGCTGTGCTGATTTCTTTGTAAAACATTGTTAATTTTAAATTTGAGCGGTGAGAAATCGATTTTCTTAAATCTAGGCAAAGAACCGAATTTTTTCGAACCCATTACCTGGGCTGTGGCTGCAGAGGATAGGTCTCCAGCAGCAGCAACACCACCTACCACTCCATTATTACCTGGTGGAGATCCCTCCAATTTGGCAGATTGTGTCATTGGATTTGAGCCATTTTTCAAATGCTGCTGTAGCTGTTGTTTGATACGCATAGACTGCTTCGGGGCCAAGGTGGCATATTTATGCAACAATCGCGTGGCATCCTTGGTTGCTCGATAACAATTTTCATATTCCAATTCGGCCTCCTCCAAGCGTTGAATACCACTTTGTTTCGGTGTCGAGTTGTAATCCTTATCCGTTTTATCGCCATTGGTATGACTTGAACTACTCTCACTGCCCTCAGCAGCAGCACCGGTATCATCAAATTTAAAATCAATATTTTGTAATAGAGCCAATTGCAACAGCTCCGTTTGGAGTTTCTCTTTTAGCTGGGCGGCATCCGTAATATCATTGTAGGAGGATTTTTCAGTATTATTATTGTTGTTGTTGTTATTTGAATTGAGCATTAGAGATCTACGTTTATTTATGTTAACCGTGTAAACATTTTCGGAAATTTTTTGAGCATTTTGGGTACGCCGCGGTATGGTAGCTGTTCCACCTATGGTAGGCGGCGTCGTACTGGCCGATGATTTTTTCCTTTGTTCAATGATTTTCTGTGGCGATGAGATGTACAGATTCTCCTTACGTTCCCGCCTCATTTTTATGTTGACCAAATGTTTGAGGCCAAGATTATTGGAGGATTTCTGAAAATATGAAAGAAAGAGATTGGATGTGATTTCGGAAATTCTATTTTTTCTAAGAGAAGACCTGAGAATCTTTTCATAGAAGGCCAGAATGTCTCCTCATAGAAGGCCAGAAAGTCAGGTCCGAAGGTCATCTCATAAAAGACCAGAAGGTCAAAAGGTCTTCTCATAAAACGCCACAAGTTCTTCTCAGAGAAGTCCAGAAGTTTTTCTCATAGAAGGCAGAAGGTCTTCTCACAGAAGGTCTGTAGACAAATCCCAGAAGGTCTTCTCACAGAAGTCAAGAAGGTCTTCTCATAGAAGGCCAGAAGGTCTTTTCATAGAAGACCGGAAGGTCTTCTCATAAAAGGCCAGAACGTCCTCGCAAAGGTAAGAAATTCTTCTCATAGAAGACCAGATGGTCTTTTTATAGAAGGCCAGAAGGTATTGTCATAGAAGCCCAGAAGGTCTTCCCATAGAAGATCAGAAGGTTTTCTCATAGAAGCCACAAGGTCTTCTCATAAAAGGCCAGAAGGTCTTCTCAATGAAGGCCAAAAGGTCTTCTCATAGTAGGTCAAAAGGTCTTTTTACAGAAGGCTAAAAGTCTTCTCACAGAAGGCCAGAAGTTCTTCTCACAGAAGGCCAGAAGGTCTCCTCATAGATGGCCAGATGGTCTTCTCATAGGCCAGAATGTCTTCTCACAAGGTCTTATCATCGAATGACAGAAGATCTTCTCATAGAAGGCCAGAAGGTCTCGGGAGATATCAAGGATGCCGCGCATCGTCATTATTTTCAAATATTTAAAAAATTTTCCAACATTTTATTCCCTCTACTCACCTCCTTTTCGTCTGATTTGAGAGCGGACGTCGGCGTAGTCTGTTTCGATGGACTTATGGAGCCACGTTTCATTTTCATGGTATCACAACTGTTCGGATAGTAGGAGGGCACCTTATCATCAATGCTTATTATCGATTTCCTTGGAGTTTGATAATAATTTTCTTCCTCCGCTTCGGATACAATGACAGCAGGAGAATCTTTTTCCGAGGCAGAATCGGTGGGTGTACTTGTACACATGGTGGCCGGCATGGGTTGTTCCAATTCCTGAGCTGCCTTAATGGTCAAAAGATTTTCATAGAGATTACCACTGAAATCTTTATTCAAAGGTGGAGTTTGTTCATTGGGCTTCAAGATGATGCTGGCATTTAATGGTGAACCATTTTGCATATTCTCATAGATGGTGCTTTCATTGGCCGGTATGGGAGTTTTTCTCAACGGTACCATGTCATAATCACTTTCATCCTGGCGTTTTGATTTCAAACTTTTCAAGGGTAACGTTTTAGTGGGTTCTCCATTGATTTCTTTATTGGGTTCAGAATTGGACGAGGACGAAGAAGATGTTGTTGAGCAATATGAACCCGTCGAATACCCCGATGAGGTGGAGGATGTGGTGGATGATGTGGCAGTATTGGTATTTTCAGTCTTTTTCTGTTGTATGGGTGCCATAATGCAATAGCCCGTCAAATCATCTTCAATGACAATTTTATTGCGTTTTAACTTCTGTATTGATGGCACAGCACCACTGGCTCCCACTAGATTAATGGAGGAGGTATTGCAGGCCGAAAAATTAAAGTTTTGTGGCAATTGTTCGGATATGTTGAGACTCTCCAATGAACCACTTTTCGATTTCAAGGCATGTATGCGTTTCAAAATTGCTCTGGAATTGGAATGTCCAATGGAAGAATCATCTAAACTCAGGGAACTGTAATTATGACAATCTGACTCAACAAAATCATGGAAGTCATGATCATCTTCGAGCCCATCTCCGGATGATTGTAACAACAATAAAGCAGCAATTTTCTCCTCATCAAAAGTATCCAAAAAATTGATTTTCGACAAGTCAGGACTTGAAAAGCTATTACGTTTATTGCTATTCGTGATGGCTGCCACCTCAGGCCGTTTGAGTATTTCATTGGCATACAAAGGATTGCCAAAGTCGTCTTTATCATGACCGCCACCCTTACCACCACCATTGATAATATCCTCCATGGTACAGGCTTGTGATTCGCTAACACTTTCGGCCCGCTTTGAGCGTCCCGCACCGAATATATTATCCAAAACATTTTTATATTTTTTCTTTTTAGCCAAATCCACTTCGGGATTGGTGTTCGAACGTGGTATGTCATTGAGAGCGGCGGAGGTTTCACTTTCCAAGGTGTTGATACGTTTACGATGAGGCGGCAGCGGGGGTAATGGTGGTGGACAATCCGAATGTTCCTCCATTATGGCATTAATAATACTTTGAGAACAGGGTTTCATTTCTTCATAGATGCCAGAGGCTATGGAGGCCCTTGAAAGACGTCTCGATAGACGTGGTGGTATATTACCTTCGAATATTTCCTCATAGATTTCGGAAGCACGTGACAAACGTCCAACACCACCAGCGGACCAATTAAAGCTATTATTTGAAACGGGGATTTGTGGCAAAGGTCCAAGGGCTGCCAAGGCATCCTTTACGGCGCTGGAAAGAGAGAGAAAAGCGAAAATGGATTTTAGGAGATAGAAATACAATTTTAAACTCTCGTGGAATTGTTAAAGGATTTCTTCAAGGATTACCAGACCTGTAAAAGTTTTTATGCTAAAGGAAAATTGTAAACGGACTTCATGGGAAGTTCTCCCTTTTGCAGAAAACATTTCGGAGGAATCCGATTTATAAAAGACATTTCGAAGTTATTATATTCTAGATAACCTGTGGAAGATGTGTTATCTACAGAAGACTATTAGGCTCCTACCTATAATTGACCTTTGAAAGGTATTCTGTCTCCAGAAAACATTTCAAATGTGTTCTATTCATTGGGTTCCAGGATTTCTATAGAAGATTTGTAGGGCTACAAATCTTCTTGGGAAGGGTTTCAACCATAGAAGACCGATCGAAGGAACCTATCATCAAAATGAGTACTTTATCCATAGAAGAAATGAAAAAGGCATTGTATCCATATAACGAAAATGTTTTTTCTATTATTTAACACTAAGGAAAGATTTCACTCTTCTTGGCTAGCTTTTAAAATATGGAACAATTTTCAAATTCCGTACTTAAAACAAAGTGCTTCCCAAAAGGAGGATTTCCTTTAATATAAAATATATTTTACAATATGTTCAATATCCAATATTCATTCGACTTACCTCAATTCCGTTTTGGTGCCCACCCTACTGCTGCGACGTTGTTCAAAGAAAACTTGTCTGTATACCTCCAAGTTCTTAATCGACTTCTTAATCCATTTCATGTGTTGGCGACAGGTGGCCTCCGTTTCCTCGGCAAGGTAAATAAAACAATCACGACGATTGTGAGTCCAAAAAAGACCATACGAATACTGTTTGGTACGTGATGTGGCCAGGCTAATACTAACACCAGGCACATTGACCGATACACACAGCTGGGACGTAGATTGATCCTTTTCCAAGGATTTAATTGTGATGCGCAGGAAACAGGGTAAACATTTAATTGCCTCAATTTTCACCTCACATTTGGTCCACGCTTTAAATCTCAACGATAATGGGCGTTTATCGTAGATATCTAATTTTATATCTGTTACCATACATATTTCATTCGACTCCATGATGATGATTCTGACGGCAGGATAACTAACACATTAACAAATAACTTTTTAAAGCATATAGATGATTATTTTAATTGGCAGTATTCTTTTTTGATTATCTTTAAATTTAAACAAAATAACAAAAACAAATTGAAATGACTAACATATTCTTTAAAAGACTAGCAACTAATTTTCTTCTTGCTTTTTTCTTCTTCACTTCTTCTCGTTCTTATTGTGTGTAAGTACAACAACAATTAAAAAAAGGACTCTCCCATGACCAAATAAAGGAAGAAGGGAGAGACTGAGAACAGTGATGCATTTGTTTGGTTATGTGCAGGAGAGAGTGAGAGAGAAAGGTGCCAACAAATGACGGCGTTGAAACATATTACGCGGGCATGGGATATCGACATACAGAGAGATGCATTTGGGATTCACAAGTAGAAATTTCAGTTGGGGAAATTTAAGTTTTTAGAAGAAAGGGGGTAAAAAAAAATAAATTTAATATTTTTTTATATTTAACAATATTGGATTTTTTTTCTCATTTTTCCGCCCCTTGTCTTTGCATCTGTTTAAATCACGATATAAGTTGCAATATTAACGATATATTTTGTGCCCAGGTATAAATATTATTCCCAGCATATTTACTATTAAAAATATAATATATTAACCCATGTTTCGGCTGATAAAGTTATTTTCTGTAGCTGGTGCTGATCATGATGTGAACGCGATACCTACGTATGGGATGGTCGCCCCCTTGGTCGGCAGGGGTGGGAAAAGTTTGTCGTTGGAAACGTTCGGAAAAAGGTATTTTCTGATTCCTTTTTGGTGTAGCCTTTATATAACTTTTATATAGAATTTCGATATTTCGAGGTCTTAAAGTGAGAATACACAAAACGATTTTCATTTAAGTCATCGGCTGGCTTCTTCGTAGAGGAACAAAGGAGTTATAGGTTGATTTAATTCGGTTTTGGCCCTACGATGACTATAGCCAGTCAAAAAATCGTTTTATGCACTCTCACCTTTAGTCCCATTTTTCAACCAAAGTAACCGTAGTTTGACATTTCACGTTTTTAGTGAGTATACGTCACGTCTTTCAAGAAACATTCAATATAATTAAGTATAATTAATTTAGATTATTTTACTTGAAAACATTTAAAATGAATTTAATCACACAAAATTCAAGCATTAATAAATTTAAATTTTTGAAATTGCGTTGCATTCGAGCTCAATTGGTTAATGACACCGAATACCAACTACTTGATAAAGAGTTAAACGTGAACAGATGATTGGTTTTTGGCGCGCTACAGGTGTTGGAAAACGATTTACAGGACCCTAAATTGGTTTGTTTTTCAATCTGTTGATCCCATGCAAAGTTTGATTTTTGATTGTTTTTGAATTGTTTGAGATATTTTTTGAATTATTTACAAGAAAATGGAAGAGGAATCATATATGGAAGTTGAGGAACCAGAGGGTCTGTATGTATTGTGTGCAAACAAAAATATCGGCTATGTTGTATTCAAATCATGATTGAACTTGCATTTTAGTTATGTTAGGAACTTGGACGATGTCAAGGGAATTATTAAACATGCAAAATTGGATGAAAGGAATCTGACGCATATCACACAGGTAATATGAACCAAAACTTTGGTTTTCTGGAACAAAGGATTCTTATTAAGAAAATCTTATTAAGAAAATCTCAAAAAGTCCGAAAAATTCACGGTGAAGAATACGCGTCATTCCAGAGATTGGAATCTTTCGAAGCAATCCTTTCAATGTTATCCTCGAAAAACTCCCTCTATAACTAAAATATCTTCTTTGTTCTTTCCAGGCCATTTACTATCCCTCGTCGGAAGTCGTCAGCGATAATCTAAAGCTCCTAGAACTGGATGATCACATGATCAAACAAATCCATGAAGGACAATCGCTGTACTTCAAAGGTGGCCACAACGAGAAGGTTGTCCTGTGTACCGATGAAAAAACCTATGATGTAAAAGCAGCGGAGATTTCCAATAGTTTACTGTTGATACCCGATCTAAAATTTGCAGCTGCCACAAGTACTTCCCCACTTAAAAGCCCGCGAACCGCCAACAACACGTCTTTGGAACGTAGCTTAAATGACAGTGCCGATGATGATTTGTTAATGGAACGAACTCTGGAACAACGGCAAATTCTTAAAATATTCCATGAATATTTTGAATGTCGTGAAATACGACCGAAATTTCGTAAAATGGGAGATCTCTTGCAGATGACACGTTATTCGGGACCGGAACATGAAGAAGCTATCGATCGTAAATTGCTGTTCACTTTCGATCAGTTATTGGACACCGTCCAGTGTAGTCGCAAGGAGTTTGTGGAGGGCCTGAAACAATATCGTTGCATTGAATTTGAGGGTTGGATGCGTGTCCTGGAATGTGAATATGAATATCGTATTGTTAATTTAATGGTTGGTTTAATTGCCGAAAATTCCTGGCCTCTTGATGAGGTGGAACGTGAAGAGACCATAAATGCTTTGGAGGGTATTGCTCCAAAACAAATTGTTGAAGGTCTATTTGATGTTTATACCGTACCCTCAGATGGTAAAGAGAATCGTTTTACTTATAAAGAAGAACTGGTGGCCAGAATTGTGGCCCAAAATATCTTACAGCCTGGACTAAAGTTTCGTGTTGATGAATTTTTGAGCACCTGGCAGGAAGCTGTCCCTGAGGGCATGAAGTGTGATGTAGGTGGAGTTTAATAGTTTTTTGTTTCTATATTTAATTTATTTTATTATTTTAGGAGAAATATTTGCGTGGCTTGGGTATATTTGATAAAGAGGGAGCTGTACCATGCATACGTTCTTTATCAGAGGAAAATTTGCCTCTAAATATACACGATCGTATGCGTTTGCTGTTTAAAACCAAATCCAAATGGACTTTGGAGGAAATTGAACCCTATATAGAGTAAGTGGGAACTTTAATATTTTAGGTCATGGTACTCCTTTAAAGCTATTTCAACTATCCCTAATGTTACTCCTTTTTTAATTATTTTCATTTTTTTTATATTTTTATTTATTTTCTATTTTTTTTATTTCTTATTTTTTTCAGATGCTTTTCTACTCCTGTCCTCTCAGTTTCCACTTTAATGGCAAAGCATGCCCGTTCCCTAATGGAAAATGGTGTTCGATTTTATGTTACTAAACATTAGAGTAACTATTTTAAAATTTATTATCTACAACAAAAATTATTTATACAATGGAAACTATTTCTTCTTTTTATTGCGCATTTTCTTAGCCTTTTTCATATCCTCAATGGCTTCCTGCATTGCTTTAACAGCTGAATTGGGTTTCTGTTCACTGCCCTGCAAAGGTCCGGATGAAATTTCAGGCACTTGCAAACCTCCGGTGGCAGTTGGATATCTAAAATAAATTTTTGAAAGAAATCAGGTCAATTAGTAACAACATTGAAGCACCAGAAAATGAACTTACTTGAAACTAAAGCCTCTGGGGAAAATAGGTTGGGCCAACAAAGATTTCAATTGTTGCCTTACATTGGCCAGGTGAATGCGATTACGTCGTTTTTCAATAATAAAAGCATCTTCATCCTGATCACTGCCACTGAAAGAAAAAATAAATTTTGAATTTAATGGCACTGCAAGAACATAAATATAAACTCCGCTTACGATTCATCATTGAAGCCATCGATAACCATGTCCATTTCTTCGGCTATTTTCTTCATCCAACCCATTTCACTTTGTACACGTTTCAATTTCAATTCTTGACGATCAACTTCACGTGCCAAATCAACACGTTCCCTGACGGCAGCAAGATAACGTTCCGATACGGGGAATAAAGGCAAATCTTCCTCTGCAGAAAAATAATTTTTGGAAGGTAAGCAGTAACTCATTATTTTCTGATTGAAGATAACATACTTCGCTCCAAGGTTTTATAAAGTTTGACATAATTCTTCACTTCACCGGGTTCCATAAACATGACTGTTATGCCATCTTTATTGGCTCTGGCAGTTCTGCCCGAACGATGGACATAATTTTCACTAGTTCTGGGTACCTAAAATCAATTGAAAAAATAAAAAAGGTTTTGGAATAAAAATCGCTTTTTACACACCTGATAATGTATGACATGTTCCACATTAGGAATATCCAAACCACGAGCAGCCACATCCGTGGCAATAAGGAAGCCACAAGGATTATCACGAAATCTTTCCAAATTCTTCAAGCGCTGCTTTTGAATCATATTGGCATGTAAGGGTAAGGGCTCACATTTCAAAAGGCCAAAAAGATTTGCCAAACGTTTCACACAATCAATGGAATTACAAAATACAATGGTACGTCCAGGATGTCTTTGTACAAAATAATACAAATAATAGTCCTTTTGGTCCAAGGGGCAAATTAAACGGCATTCCGTTAGATTTTGGGCAGTTTCTAGAGTAGATGAAGTAATGAAATCAAAATCAAGGATAATCATATTTAAAATGTGTACTTACGTTGTGACCTTGTGATATCCACAATTTTCGGTTGTGAAATGCCCAACTCATCAATCAAATTTTGTATTTTGTCCTCTGCCGTTTGTTTAACAAACTTGGGCTTTTTGCCAAAGTTACGCTCTAGAAACGAAACAGAAGTTTAGAATGTAACGTTGAGTTTCATAATTTCTACATACTTTGCATATGCTCCGGCAAATCATGCACCAATGTCAGGGTGGCCGAGAACACAAAATTCTGCCGGGATTGTTTTTTCTGTTCATTGTCATTTATTAGTTTCAGAATTTGTCTCAATTCCTCAAAGTGACCCTTTTCAACCATACGATCTGTCTCATCTATGACCAGGAAACTAATATCTTCCAAATGTCTTAAATGTTTATTGTCCTGTTGATAAAGTTCCCAAAATCTTCCAGGGGTGGCAACAACAATTTCAGGGCATTTCTTCAGAACACGTTCCTGTTTGGCCACTGCCAAGCCACCAAAAATTGCAGCCACTTTGATGCCTAAAATAAGAAAAGGGGAAGTTATTTCAAATTGGTTCCCACAAAGAAATATTTACCCCACCTGTATATTTTGCCGCTGCCTCAATGTGATTTTTAACCTGGACTGCCAATTCTCTGGTGGGTGTCAAAACCAAACCATAGAGAGGACTCTGATTTTCATCTTCTTCTTCGCTTTCTTCATCACTTTCTTCTACATCCATGGGAACTTCAAATTCCTCTTTATGCCCAATTTCATTATCTTCAGAATGCTTTTCTTTGGTTTTGGTTAAAGGTTTGCGAATACCGGTTTTGGAATTTTTCTTTTTTAATTCCATAATACCAGCCAGGAGAGGAATACCGAAGGCCAATGTTTTGCCGCTTCCAGTTTCTGCTGCACCCAAAATATCTTTTTTACCCAAAATGGCAGCAGGCAGTGTTCTAGATTGAATTTCGGTGGGTGATTTGAAACCCTTTTCTGCCAAGGCTTTCAGGATACACTGGGGCACACCGAGGCCATTCCAACCCTGGAAATAATCTCACAAATGAAAAAAAGTCTTTATAAGATTCATCAATATATACCTCCAAATCATCTATGCTTAAGGCTTTGCTATCCACCAATTCGGGTGCTTCTTCTTCCTCCGAATCATCATCATCGTCTTCCACTTTCTGCTCATCTTCATCACTCTCTTGTGGTGGCCTCAGTAACTTAAAACGATCTTCATTGTATTCTTCCCCTTCTGCATCATCTTTGCTTTCTGTTTCCTTTGATTTTTTGTTCTTTTTACCATCTTTTGGCTTCTTTTTATCATTTTTATTGTCATTTGTTACAGCACCGCCACCTTGCTTTTTGGCCAATTTACGTTGCAACTTCCTCTGTTCCCGTCTTTCTCTGCGTTTTTGCAGTTTCAGGGCCAAACGTTCTTTATAAGAAGCTTTTTTGCTTTTCTTTCCACCCTCATTATCATCGTCACTGTCATCTTCCGATTCTGATAGGGAATCATCACTATTTTCATTGTCATCATCTTCATCGTTTTCCTCGCTGGTCTTTTTGGGTTTCTTATTGGCCTTTTTACGTTCCATACGCTTTTCCTTGCGTGTTGATTTGGGCTGAAAAGGAGCATAAAATATAAATTGCCGAGTGAAGATTTAATGATTTACTTACCTTTGACATCTCCACCAATGCCGGATCGTAGGTTTCCAAAACCTCCAAACCAATTAAGCCTTCCAATCCTACACCATCCTCTGAGACAACATTTCCCTTGATCTTAACTTTCTCCCAACTGGCATCGTTTTTATTAATTCGGGGAAGTTTGGCCTTAGGGCCACCCCTCTGTTTGTTTTGGACCATATTTTAATTCTTTTTCCTTTTAACTGATACCAAACCCGATCCAATGCACAAAACAATGCGGTTGCACGTGTTTTTGTTTTGTTATGGGTAGGGATCACTAGATCGACTTTTGACCTCAACTTGGTAGCCCTGTCTTTGATGAGACGGGAGAGTTGTCAAACGAAGAGAACAACACTGTGTAAATCACATGGCTGTTATTTTAGGCGGGAAAATTAAAACATTTTTTAGGTAAGGCACAGATTAAAATTTCGTGGCCGCAGCAGTAGATTTGTGTTCCAAAATATACCAGCAATAAACTCAGCCGGAATTACACATATATGTTTCGGAATCACCATTTGTTTATACAGTATATAAAAAAGCTCCCAAAAAGATGATAACAAATTAAAAGTATACTATTTTTATCACACAAGGGAATAGGACATCAAAGAAAATGGAATAAACATCCAAAATTCTGTTGCAGCTGCATTTGAGAATCTTCTTGGCCTTGATTGGAGACTTCTAAAATAAAATTTATTTTAATTTTTACGTAAGTCTATTTCCCAATCAATCCTTTCTTTGCATTAGAATATATCCCTTAATTGAAATACTAATCCAAAAATTTACTACAATTTTCCTCTCTTTATTTTCATTATTTCGTGTTTCATCTTTAAATCGTTAACAATTTTAAATACATTATCACTGATTTGATCATGATGATGGCATTATGCCATCATTTATGCATGTATGTATATCGGGACGCTTGGCAGCATCCATCGTACAACGTTATTATGTCATTTACAGAATTCATTAAATTTACAATAAAATTAGCTAAAATTTAAACTCAAAAATTGTGATTTGGTTGTTGTGATGTCTTTACTGTGTGAGGCCCAACTTCTTTTTCAAAGATTCTGGCATTTCTGGTGGTGGTGGTCTGGGCATACGCAAGTATACTTTGACGGCATCATAGATGAACCATTGGGCAGCGGTCAGGGTACCAATCATGACAATTCTGGGTACCAAACCACCCCACAAACCTAAAAACGTAGACAAAAAATATTCATTAGATTTGTATATTTTCATTTTCTATTTTCAGAACTTACCGCTCCAGCCCAATGCCTTGGCAACATCCAAAGCCGAGGAACCCTTGGCGGCTTGATTCAATTTGGAAACAACAGTATCAGCAGGATGTGAAACAATAGCACAGAATACACCAGCAATATAACCGGCAGCAAATGTGACCACCAACTGTTCACCCTTGGTACATTCTTGACGTGGCTTTGGCACAACATAGCTAAGGAAATGGAGGTAGGTATATAATATCATATTCTTTTGATTTAGCCTTCTTTTGATACTTACGCATACAACAATTCCAGAGTTCTTTCAAAGCAGGCAAACTTCATCATGGTATAGGGAATTTGACGCATCCACAATGGCACCAAACCCTTGTAGAAGGCACCAATACCCTCCTGGGCCGACATCTTGGGCAAAGCCTCTCTCAGGGTGTTGGCAAAACCGGGTGTGGTCTGGATCTTTACCTTGGCAGCCTCCATGGGGGCCAAAGCAATATCAGCAAAGAACTCAGCCGAAGCAGAAGCAGCCAAATACAATGAAGTTCTGTACAAGTAAGAATTCTCCTCACCAATGGCATTGGAATAGATAACTTTGAACACTTCATAGAGACCGAATTTGCACAGACCCTGGGCGGAATAACCAAAGAAGGTGGGTGCCCAGCCCTTCGACAGACCCTTGAAACCATCCTCGGCCAAGGTGACACGGAAACCATTGACGACACTCTTATATTTGGCAGGATCGACTTGCAGACGACACTTGACCAAATCCAATGGTACGACCATTGTGTGTGTTGTACCACAGGAGATGATACCGCCCAAGCCGCAGAGGGCAAAATATAAATTGGAACCGAATTCACAGGAATCTAAAGGAGTAATATTTGTTTTTAATTTACTTTATTGTAATTTTAATTTGTATTTTCTGTTTGTAAGGGACTCACCTCCTTCAGCAGTTGCAGCAGCTTGGATATGATGATGTTCGGTCAATTGACCCTTTTCCATAGCTGGTTCACAGCTGGCTGTGGAGAAAGGCTTTTTGAAAGGCGAATTTTGAGCAGCCTCAATCATTGAGGAGAACAACATGATGTTGGGTTTTGTTGCGCGAACAACTGAAAAGGATTACAAAATATTATAGTTAATAATAAATAATTGACAAAGAGGGAGGTGGAGCAGGAAATGTTATCTTCGGATATTAAAATTGATCCTCGAAGATCTTTTCTGTGGAAAAAGAGGAATTCGAAGAAATGTTCTAAAGAAGAAGTCATCTTCGATGAACTTTTTTGTATAGGAAAAGTCATCTTCGATGAACGCTTTTTATTGGAAAAGTCATCTTTGATAAATTGTTGTATAAGGAAAGCCATCTTCCATGAACTTCTCTGTGGGAAAAGTCATCTTCGATGAACTGTAATAAAAGTCATCTCCGATGAACTTTTCTATAAAAAAAAAGCATTTCCGCTGAACTTTTATATAAGAAAAGTCATCTCCGATGAAATTTTCTATGGGAAAAGTCATCTCCGATGAACTTTTCTGTATAGGAAAAGTCATCTCCGATGAATTTTTCTATAGGAAAAGTCATCTCCGATGAACTTTTCTATAGGAAAAGTCATCTCCGATGAACTTTTCTGTATAGGAAAAGTCATCTCCGATGAATTTTTCTATAGGAAAAGTCATCTCCGATGAACTTTTCTATAGGAAAAGTCATCTCCGATGAAATTTTCTGTATAGGAAAAGTCATCTTCGATGTTCTTCATTTCAATTTTCTTTCGTTTAATTTCAATGTTATTTTGTAATTTATTCGAAAACAAATTTGGCAAGGAAATCACTTTTCAATTTCCCGTTGTCATGACCATTTGCCCAATGGATGGCCAAAATTTCAAGCTTACAAGTTCAAGGGTTCGTTCATTGCATCATTGATCATGATTTTGCTTTTTTTCATTCTTATTTTGCAAAAAATGCCCAATGAACCAGTGTTTTTTATGCATTTTCAAATTTTGAGGTTAGGGACGATCATTTGTTGTAATATGCCAAAAATGATGTAACTTTTGTTCTGTTTTGCCTTCGAAACGGTAAATTCGCGTGCAATAGAAGGTCATTAACACTATTTGATCATAAATCATGCATAATCGTTGACATAATCCATTTTGAAAAATTGGAGGACATTTGGAAATTTTCAAGGGGAAAATTATTTTTTGCATATTTTTGAAAACTGTATTTAAATGAAGTATAATTAATAGTAATATTTGTTTTTTTATTTTTTTAATGCCTATGATCGTTTTTTTTAAAACATCCAAATTTTTCTCAAAGTCGATTTTGCACATTTTGAATTTTTACATATAAATGCAAGTATTTTTACAACAAAATTTTTAAATATATACTAAAAACCTTATGACATTTCATTATTTTTAAAATATATATGTATTGCATAACCATTTGTTTGTTGCACTTTGCCGATCTTTCTGTTTCAATTTTTCAGTTTTTTTTTTCAATTTTCATTTTTTTTCAAAAATGTTTATTTTTCCATTTTTCGCATTTTTTTAACTCACTTTATCAAAAAAATAAACAAAATCTTAAATTTGTTCTAAACGAAATTTATCTTGGGAAAAGAATAAATTTCGTTCGTTTTTTTTTTTCTATTTTGTATGGGAAATTGGCGTATGCTACGCGTTCGTTAAACACCCAACAACTGAAATAGTTTTCAAATTCGATTTGAAAATTTAATGAGATTTTGCTTGCATTGACGATGTGCAGCGAAATAATTTAGACATACATAGAGACATTGGTGACTCTGAGTACTTGCATTCAGAGTGCTCAGAGCGGTAGTTCCTTCTCTATTTTAACCCATTTGAGGCGGAAGTGTGAATATATATGACGACGTCCATGTGAAATGTGTGTAAAAACAGTAACATTTTTTTAAAAGTGGATTTATTACAAACTCCTCTTTCCGCTGCAAGGGTTTCTCCTTTTTTACTCAATGTCTAAAGTAATTGAAATGTGCTATACTAAGGTTCCCCATGGGTTAAATCCCAAAAAAAAAAAAAAAAAAAAATCAAAAATGCGTGAGTGCATCGTTTCTTCTTTATTTGTTGCAAATGGCAAAAAATCACCAAAGAATAGTTTAAAAATAAATTTCATTACCAATCTGAAAGATGTTCTCAATGCAAGGCCACATAATATTTATGCAACCGAAAGAGAGTTTTGATTTCATTTTTTTTTTTTCTTTGAAAATAAGAGAATATTTTTCTAAGAGAAAATATATATTTTTTTTCAAGACATATGCAAGATTTGAAGAATATTTTTGAAAATTCTGTGGGACGGTACTTTTAAATAATTTGTTTTCAATTTGCACTTTTAATAATAAAAGACTTTTAGAAAAGTTACATCACCCCTATCCATATGACTATAGAGGGCATATATTAATTGATACGGCCAAAGCATCCTCCAGTGAAAAAACGGTTATAGACCCGAGGTCTCTTTGGATCACATCCGTTTCAGGACATTTGGAGTGGATTTAGGGGTGTCTGTCCGTCCGTCTGGCTGGTGTGAACAATAACAATAATAACTCGATGAGAGCATTTAATTTGGTCCAAGCTTGGCAAACACCTTCTCGTATCTCCCCTACAAAAGGTCAAAATTTTCACAGAACTTAATATACCTTTTAAAATTTTTATATTTTAATCAGTGATAGGTCAGATACGACAAGTAAAAAAGCTGTAAGTTTGGCCCGGCTGAATTTTGAATGCCCTCCACCATTTGCAACGAATGCCCTCCATCATTTCCAACGGCAATTTCCAAAAAAAAAAAAAAAAAAACAATCAAATCCATTAAAAATTCTGTTAAAATTTAACGTTATATTAGGGTCTATGCGACGACATGGACCTGCATAGGCAATTTTTGTCGTAGCCAGTGCAATATTCAAATGCGAAACTTGAAAAAAATCGGTGAATAATGTAGCTAAAAAAAATCATCAAATTACCGAATATGGGGAGATGCCCTTATACGGGGGCTATACGAAGACGTGAACCTGCACAGACAATTTTCTGCCTCAGGCTGTAATATCCGTTACGAACTTCAAATACCAGAATTTGAAACAATTCCGGTAAATAATGTGGCTGAAATCATGAAAATATCGAATATCGGGAGGTACCGTTATATGGGGGCTATACGAAGACGTGGACCTGCAAAGACAATTTTCTGTCTTAGGCTGTAGTATTCGTTACGGACTTCAAATATCAAATTTGAAACAATTCCGGTAAATAATGTCGCTAAAATCATCAAAATACAGAATTTCGGGAGGTACCGTTATGTGGGGGCTATACGAAGACGTGGACCTGCAAAGACAATTTTCTGTCTCAGGTGGTAGTATATATTACGAACTTCAAATACCAAATTTAAAAAAAATCCGGTGAATAATGTCGCTAAAATCACCAAAATACCGAATATTGGGAGGTACTGTTATATGGGGGCTATACGAAGACGTGGACCTGCACAGACAATTTTCTGTCTTAGGCTGTAGTATCTATTACTAACCTCAAATACCAAATTTAAAACAAATCCGCTGAATAATGTCGCTAAAATCATCAAAATACCGGATATCTGGAGGTACAGTTATATGGGGGCTATACGAAGACGTGAACCTGCACAGAAAATTTTCTGCCTCAGGCTGTAATATCCGTTACGAACTTCAAATACCAAAATTGAAACAATTCCGGTAAATAATGTCGCTAAAATCATCAAAATAACGAATATCTGAAGGTACAGTTATATGGGGGCTATACAAAGACGTGGACCTGCACAGACAATTTTCTGCCATAGGCTGTAATTTCTATTACGAACTTCAAATACTAAATTTGAAACAATTCCGGTGAATAATGTCGCTATAATCATCAAAATACCGAATATCGGGAGGTACTGTAATATGAGGGCTATGCGAAGACGTGAACCTACACAAACAATTTTCTGTCTCAGGCTGTAGTATCCATTATGAACTTCAATTACCAAATTTGAAACAATTTCGGGTGAATAATGTCGCTAAAATCATCAAAATACCGAAAATAGGGTGGTGTCATTATATGGGGTCTATACCGAAACGTGGACCTACATGGCCCATTTTCAATACCAAAGGTCCTGCAGACATAATATACATTTGAGTAAAATTTGGGGGTTGTTAGTAAATTGTTTTAATTATTTGAACCAATGAGTATTTCTTTCCAAGGGTTTACAGTTTTCAAATATGATACCCTACACCACTTTGCTACTTTAGTAGAGCTCCACATAACAATTAAAAGTTTTTTATGGTAGAATTCAATCATACACGCTATGATTATAATTATAATCTAAAGTTCAAAGGACTAAATATTCCGAAGCATTTGTATCTTTTAAATTCTGACTTGTTTTGCCCATTTGATATATATGGGAGCTATATCCAAATCTGAACCGATCTTGATAAAATTTGGCAAATATATTTCTGAGCTGTATTTCATACATTTCCCTAAATATCGTTGTTACGGAGTGCATATTATGGCTGTGGGTATCAAATATAATAAATCGAATGAACAATATATATGGGAGCTATAGCTAATTCTGAACCGATCTTCACCAAATTTGGTACACTAGCTTCTAGACTCAATTCGGTCGTAAGTGCCAAATTTCATGCCATTTGGGCACATATAAGACGTTTGGTGCAAAATAAAATGTAAATCGGACGAAATTATATGTGGGAGATATATCCAAATCCGAACCGATCTCGATAAAATTTAGCAAAGGTATTTCTGAGCTGTATTTGATATATTTCCCCAAATATTGTTGTTACAGAGTGCATATTACGGCTGTGGAGGACTAAAATAACAAATCGGATGAACAATATATATTAGAGCTATAGCTATATATGAACCGATTTCGATCAAATTTGGCATACTTATATTAAGACCTAATTTGGTTGTTTGTGCAAAATTCCATACTATTCGGGATGATATTACACGTTTGGTGCACAATAAAAAGCAAATCGGACGAAGATATATATGGGAGCTATATCTAAATTTTTAACGATTATCTCCAATTTCAATAGGGTTTGTCCTTGGGCCAAACAAATGGTTTGTGCAAAATTTCATCTGGATCGGGTAATCAATACGAACTGTAATTTGTTCAGAAAAATGCATGGACAGACGGACGGACGGACGGACATGCATAAATCGACTGAGAATGTGATTCTATGCAGATCATCAAAAGGAACTGTGGGTCTATTTCGTTTCCTTTGGCCTGTTACAAACAAATGCCCAAAGACATAATACCCTGACCACCTTGTGGTGTAGGGTATAAAAAGGGATATTGTAGCCAAAATCTTTAAAAAAACGTGGTAATATTTCCCTATATTTATTAACCACCCCTCCTTGATGTAGTTCAGATACCAACCAATTAAAGACCAAGTTTTTTTTTAATTTTTAAAAATAATTTTAATTTCTTTATTATATGTTGTTGTTTTTTGTTTTTAATAATTTCGATATCTTAACGCAGTATAGTATACAAAAATGTTGTTTTTTGATTTTTTGTGTTGTGTTATTTTTTTTTTAAATTTAATTTAAATTATTTTTATGTTACGTTATGTAGTTGTTGTTGTTGTTTTAGTAGTTATGTAAAGCGATAATACTTTGAAATAAGTACATTTCATTTTCAAATGGACATGAGCGATGATGAGGGGTTTTGGGGGAGGGATCTGGAGGACACAGCAATGCATGGGCCAACACTTATTCATTCATCTCTTAAGATTTTGTGTTAAGCACCGCATACGGCTGTTTTTTTCTTTTTCTTAATTATTTTATTATCATTTTTTTACTGAACATTTAGTATATAAAAATATAATACTCAAGTTATTTGTTTTATTTTAAAAAAATCTTAACATAAACATATTTAAGCATTAAAAATGCATGCAATTTCTTTTTTTAAGTTACAACAACATGAAGACGAAGAGGTCTCATATGGATCTCTACTCTAGAACTCTTCTCTCTGTCCTTTTTCCTTTTGTATAGTTAAACTATATAAAAAAGAAGTTTCTTAAAATAAATGCTTGTTTGGATTAAAAATGAAAATTATAAAAAAAAACTTAAACTAATATTGGCAATCATCAAATTTTGTTTGTTGTTAGGGTTTGGAATTAAATTTTCTTAACTTATGAAAATAAAACATAAATCTACAGCATATATAAACAATAAATTACAAATTATGGCTATGATTCGGAAGTTTCCATGTGTCTGTGTACCGTAACAGGAGCTAAAATAAGATGGGTGGCTCCGGGCACGGAGCTGCTGCCACAGCCATCATCGCCAGCAGCCAAAGAACTTTGCAGGGGAATCGTGGTGGGCTCATACACCCCCCGGCTGGGTGAATGTGAATATTTTTTGGGCGATGTTAAATTGTAACGTGACTCCTTGGAGGGGAATCCATAATGGGATGACTGCTGTTGCTGCTGCTGGCGATTTGTGGGCGATGATATGGATGTTGATATGGACATGGTATCTGATTTACTATGACGTTTATCATTCAACAACAACGGTTCGGCCAATGTAAAACACTGATGATCCGAGGAGTCTTCATGCGGAGTCATTGTAGAATAACCATGATCAGATTCCCCATTTGGTGGCCGCCTATAACTGCTGCCGGTGCTCATATGATATGGTGATATGTCGGCAGCATTCATAAGACTACGCTGGGCCGCAGTGTGATCATAACCACCACCAACTCCCCCACCACCCGGCGGATCATCGGCCTGACAATCATCAAAATTGAATCGAGACAATGGTAGACCATAGTTTTCTTCTTGCATTGAATCCATGTAGAATTGTTCCTGCGATGAACTGTCGACATTGTGACGGTAGCAATAGATGGCAAAACCAATGACAATGGCCAGCACAATTATGGCCCCACCCACCGGGCCAAAGGCGGAATAATTGCTGGTCTTTTGAGACGGATTATAGCCATGGGCAGCCAAGAGGTCATCATCATCCAAGTCGCCATAGGGGGAAAGGCTGGCTAGGACACCTGAAAGCAAGGAAAGGAAATGAAAAATATGTATTGAAACATTTTTAAAACTTTCATCCACAAATGTGGATAATCATCCTCTTTTGTGGATAAAATTATTATCCACTTTTCGTGGATAAAATTATTATCCATATTTGTGGATAAAATTATTATCCATATTTGTGGATAAAATTATTATCCACGTTTGTGGATAAAATTATTATCCATATTTGTGGATAAAATTGTTATCCCCACTTGTGGATAAAATTTTTATCCACTTTTCGTGGATAAAATTATTATCCACTTTTCGTGGATAAAATTATTATCCACTTTTTGTGGATAAAATTATTATCCACTTTTCATGGATAAAATTTTTATCCACTTTTCGTGGATAAAATTATTATCCACGTTTGTGAGTAAAATTATTATCCACATTTGTGGATAAAATTATTATCCACACATGTGGATAAAAATATTATCCACATTAGCGGATAAAATTATTATCCATATTTGTGGAAAAAATTGTTATCCCCACTTGTGGATAAAATTTTTATCCACTTTTCGAGGATAAAATTTTTATCCACTTTTCGTGGATAAAAATATTATCCACTTTTCGTGGATAAAATTGTTATCCACTTTTGATGGATAAAATTATTATCCACGTTTGTGGATAAAATTATTATCCACGTTTGTGGATAAAATTATTATCCACATTTGTGGATAAAATTATAATTTTTGTTGGTGGATAAAATTATTTTCCACGTTGGTGGATAAAATTGTTTGTGGATAAAATTATTATCCATTTTTGTGGATAAAATGGTTATCCACATTTGTGGATAAAATTATTATCTATGGATGTGAAAAAAATTTTATCCATATTTGTGGATAATGTTATTATCCACAAACGCGGATAAAAATTATTTTATTTTCAAAAGTGAAAATTTTCGAATTTTTGTTGATTTTTACCCCCTCCCTCAATTTTAACTCACCATTATAGCACGTCGATTGGGCACTACAGAACGCGGCCGCAAAGCCATTACCATCCAAATCCTGTTGACACCACTCACAGCCCATGACACCCAAACATTCCCGCTGGGTATTGTACATGTCGCAATTGATATTCACGCAAGAGGGTAGGGCAATCAATTGTTCATGCATTAGCTGTGACGATTCCATGGTATACGACTCATAGGGTGGCTCACAATAGGAATATTGTTTGGTTATATTTAAATAGGATAAATTTAAAGCGCCTCCCTCCAGATCTTCTTCCTCAAGTAATGATGTCACCGAATCCACTCCCACACCATTTGCGTTCACGGTCATGGGACATTCACATGGACACTCACAGTCGGATTGATCCATGCGCTTGCAATTTAAACATTGTCGATCAATGGTACTGCATGGACAAAAGGCCCCACCATCACAGGTGGAATTGAGCACAGCGGCGAATATGTTGGAACCCTTGATGAGGGCAATGGCATACTTTGTCCTCTCACCATGCACCACATTGGTCAGAATCTCATTGAGGGATGTGTTGAAGACATAATAACGCTGTAGCGTTCTATTTTGATAGTTTGCACAGGCCAATTTGCGTACTAAACTCTTGTGGTTTAGTATGTCATTGGCCAAGTAGGATTCCTTGTGGGTTATGTGTTCGTGGGGTCTTCTCTGATTCCTGGTGGCCGTTTTGGCTTCCATCATTGAGGGGTGGGCCACCAAATATCCCTCATTTTCGAACAACAAACACTTGATGTTGTGCATCAAACACAAGGGCGTGGAATCTAGTATTATCTTATAAAGATAAGCATATGGCACATCCATGGCCACAATGGCCACCGGTTGATCACGTTCTATGGAATGTAGAGCATTGGATTTTCCCTCAAATATGGTATGGGCAATGGTGATAATATAGCCCGCACCAGCGGCATCCAAGTAGGGTTCAGTAACCACAAGTCGCCCTGGGTTTTGTATGGCCTTGCGATACCAGGTGCGTTGCGAGGGATCAAAGAGATTGTTTAGCAGGCATCCTGGATAAACCTGTAGCACCCCATTCACCGAGGCAATGTATCGACGTATAATAAAGTTTTTCAATGATCCCCTGGCATCTTGATGCCTTTTCTTCAGATGTTGCATGGCTGTGTAGAGGGCATTAACTTCCTGTCTTATTTGAGGCCTCAGTCCTGGATTGGCCAACAGACCTGTGGTATCTTTTAGGTAGGCAATAATACTCTCCGAAATTGTTTTCAATTGGGCTGGTGAAGAGCTAATGCGATTGTTGTGCAGGAAGGTAAATGGTGACTCAAATGCCAGCGAACTTAAAAACAAAGTGGCAGCATCCATGGTTGATATTTGCCGAAAATAACGGCATAAATTTGTTGTGCCCGTGGCAGGCAGTAGATCCAAACGATGGTATATTAAATCAATGGTGGTAAAATACTGTTCATAGTCTTCACTATGTGGAGGTGGCGGTGGGGGATATATGGGTATATTATTTTTGGAGGCAAAATGTTTGAGGGTCAATGGTAGGGCGGCTGGGAGTTGTAGATTCAGTTTCAATTCGGAATTTTTCCCTGTGCTGGCTGCTTCCTCTGCCCTCCTGGTGTTGACCATACACAAGACATAGAACCCTAAAATATTATGCCATTGATATGTACGTATGTATTTTTCATGTTTGCGATTTTTGGTCAAATAAATGCTGGTGGTGGCATTGCCATTTTCTTCCGTTAAAATTCTCTGACGTATATCAGCAAAATTGGTGGAATTCTCTAAATATTGTATGTCCACGGGAAAGGGGGTTTGATTTAGGGTCACCGGTCTTGGGAAAGCTGGATGGGTTAAGGTATTGCCATTGGTCTCTATCAAAAAGGCATAGGAATTGTCACCCTTATTGCTTAGGGCAAATTGCTGTTGCTGATAATGATAGCTGGTGACATCTTCGATTAAATCGGATAAATACAGATTCACGCCGACCACACCAAATGGTGGCACCGCATGGGTAACAGAGACAATACTATCTGCAAGTTAAGAAGAGGGGACATATAATTGAATCAGTTTCTTTTGGTAATATTAAAAAATTGCTTACCCTTACTACTGCTATCCACAATGGGTGGATGCACCTGCCAGGTTTTAATTAGATAGGGATCTTGAAAATCCTTTTGAAATATGGCCGTTGCCGTACGTATTATGGTTTCCTGTTGCATTTTGGTAAGGAAAAACAAATTTCCTTTCAATTGCTGCAGGTCAGCCTTGTACCAATCCTTGAATTCAATATCATATTTGGTGTAGTTTTGGGATGTAATGTCCGTCAGGAATTGCCTTTCGTACATTATGCGTTTTTCATCTGGAAATATTCGAAAAGAAGTTAGACAAATTCCTTTTTATGGGAATTCATTTAAATTACTCACCCAAAACCACACCGCAGGCATTGATGACAACTGGTTTTTGCAGCAATTTCTGCCCCTTGGCCACCACATTCAAGACATGCATGGCATCGGAGAAATTGGTCAGCAATCCCCGGGTAACATAGACAAATTCAATGGGTGTCTGGGCACCAATTAGACTGGCATTTTCCAGCCTCGAAAGCATTTTAAAAGCATACTCAAAACCCAATGAATGATTGGTTAAGGCCCGACTCAACGATAAGCTATTGATGTAATTCATTATCTCCTCTTTGCGCTCTCGTGTACTTAAATACAAGCCATTTGCGGCATCCGTATCGGAGGCATCTAGCAGCAGCATGTTTTCCACTTCATCTGATACACACACCAAGGATATCAAATCATTGGGAGATAATAATTGTAAAACATTTGATATGTACGTTTTGGCTAATTCTAAAAGTTCGCCACTCATGGCCGAGCCAACATCCAGCAAAAGGAAGACATATTTCTTTTGTATGGCCGATGTGAAGAGATAACGGAAATGGGAGTCATGGTAGAATTTATTAAACGAATCACTGGCATCATCACTGCGTGACAGGAAGTAAATGTGTTTTATGTGATTACCCACATGGGGTTTCTCCAAGTTCCAGGGTGATTTGTCATTTTTAAGCAACGACATTTTTAGGGATTTAATTTTCTCCTTGATATAGGAATTGGCCTCCATGGTGAGTTCACTTTTTTCATTGAGCAACGAGGTGTCTATGTAGTTTTTCATTAGCGGAGCATAATCAGTCTTATCATAATTGAGTATTTGTATCTGTTGTTTGTTGTAATTTTCGGGTAGAGCTGTAAAACTTGTGGAGTCCACATCATAGCAGGCCTGAATAAAGGTATTCAAGTACAGGGGCTTTATGTGGGGACTTAGAGGACGTTCTATGTCATTTAATTCCATATCGAATTCTGGTTCCACATCCGAATCATCATCTTCCAAGTCCTCCTCATACTCGGCCGTGAATTGGACAATTTGTGTAATATTCGTTTGAAAGAAATCCCTTAAATCTCTGACAATGTGTAAGGCTTTTTCGATTTTCTCAGCCAAACGTTTGCTGAAATGTTGCAGATCCTGTTGTAGCTTATAGTCCAAAAGGGCCAGGGGGATGCGATCACCGTTTATGGAAAGATTTTTGTTGAATGTAAATGCCGAGGAACTGGAAAAATGCATGGAATCAAAAATTTCCTGGAAATAAAAGAAGATTTAAAAATTACATTCACAAAAAGCTAAGGAATTGAACCTACCTGTATGGTGGCCACTCTCATTTCCACATTACGCATATTCTTAAATCTCTCATCCATGTTCCTTAGGAGCTGGCGCACATTCTGTTGGCTATTGTAGTTGGTAAAGAAAACATTGGCCGGAGTTTGTAGGAATTGCTGTTGCTGCTGTCCAGCAACATTGTTGATAATCACTGAAGATGATGCCAGGGACCCCGAGGCCCCTGCCATCATATTTATTGGGCCTGCGGCAGCTGGTACCAGTTCTATCGTTGCATTATTATAGTGTAAAGGCACTTTTGTTTGTTTTGAGCCAGGAACACCAACAGCGGCAGCAGCTGGAGATGCCGGAATATTGATTGCAGCTATTTTTGCATCTCCTCCATGCTGTTGCTGCTGCTGTTGTTGTTGTAGTTGTTGTAATATAGTTGGTGTCAAAGGAACATTTTGTTGTTGTAGTATTGTATTTGAATTGGTGGTTTGATATGTGAATACCATGGAAGGTGTTGTGATAATGACATTTAAACAAATCACAACAAATAGCCTTTGTAACAGATCTCTACGAAATGGTGGCATTTTTGTTGCTGTTGTTATTGTTTTCTTTTTCTTCTTCTTCGGTCTCTTTTATTTCTAGCATTTAGATAAATTCCTTGGTTTCTTTGCTTTTACGGAGGAATATTCAGGGAGTTCTGAAACAAAAAAAGGAAAAAATTAAAATAAATTTTATAAAAAAATAATAATTTAAATTTATTCAAGGGCCACAAAAATCTAAAATTGTAAAGACTTTTTTTCTAGAAACCCAAAATGGATGCATTTCAGACCATATTGTCTTCAAGGACACAATTAGGAGGATACTAAATGAGAAAAAACTGTAGTTCAAAAAAAACATATTTTAATAAAATACTATTCTTTGCGAAAAAATCTAACCTCACGTTTCCTTCCCCATAAAATCAGAACAAGTTTCGGTTTGCTTCTTCAGCATCTCTAATGATGATAACCTTTGGTCACGGATCAATAATTTTTGAAACCCATACAATCTACAACAATAAAAACAACATGGGTGAGCATTAATCCTTTTGGGAAGCAGTTTGCTTTGATCTAAATAGACACAAAACAAGTTTTTTTTCTTTTCTTAACATGCATGACCATGAAGGGCAACAAAGGATTTCTTGGAAGAGAGGGAGAGAGAAGCAAAAAAATACCATAAAAGTGCTTGGACATCAAAGAAAATGTTACTGCCGCTACCTCGTCTCTATACTCGCTCCCTTCAGCAATCTGCAAAATAATAACATTCCACGATGCCAGCAGTGCTGTTGTTGTAGGTGTTTAGAATGAATGAATGAAAAAAAAAAACAATATTTGAAATGCAAGCACATTTTTGCTGGCTTAACGATTTGTTGTTCCATATTCATTTTTTGCTCATCACACATCCAAGACGTTCGTCGTTTTGCCTCTTTTTTTTGTCTTCTACCCACAGTATCAGTTCATATCTGTCTGTTTTTTTTTTTTGTTTATTTACAATCGTTGTTTTTTCTACGCGCGGCAGCTTTGTTGTTTGCCGACAAGAAAAATATAAACCGAAACCACACACAACAAAAAAAAAAAAAATACGCTGAAAAAACAACCTCCTCACAGATACTCCCGCCTCACACAAACCATTTTTTACACATGCCATCACACACACACAAGCACATCATATACAGAGCAGAATAAGGAAAACACACACAATCCATATTTTCCAAGACTTCAATTGATAAATTTCTTGGGATTTATTGCACTTAATCCATAAACTCTTCAATACCTTATGTTGTTAATGAATTAAACAACATTTTTGTTGTTTTTAATTAAAAGAATTCACTCGATTTGTGGCATTTTTCTTAAATATTTTGCCCGTCTTTGTTGTTAGAATGGAAAAATGTAAATCCGTACAACTAAACTAGGGATGTGGTGATCGATAATTGACTGGGTCTCTCTTTTTTTGGCTCCCACTACATTCGCATATGATTTCGACTTGGCAGCATTCTTTTCCGTTGAAGGCAGTATTTTTTCCGTTGCAAGCAGTGATTTTTCGTAAATGACTTTAATTGTACCAAAGACCCAAAAGAAATATAAAAATATATTAACAAATTAATAAAATATATAATAACTGTATACCAACTCTCATAATTAACACACATATGTACTAAGTGTGTGCAAATGGCGCCGAAATGCTATTGTGAAGTTGGGTGCAAAAAAATAAATGGTTGATCTTAACGTTTGGCGAATGGAAAAACAATTTGAATGTGATTTTAAAAGAGTAATTAAAAATATAAAATAAGTTTTTATTTCGAAAAAGAGGAAGAAATTTCCCAAACGAATATTATCGATGTACACATCAGGTGTTATTCTTATATATCAACAGCGTATATAGTGTATATATTATAGTCTCGATAACATAAATATCGTCCTCATAAAATATAAGAAATAAAAATTCATTGTGACTGCTCAAAATTGCTTATGGCATAATTTTGGATTAATCGAAAGTTATCGAAATATTTTATTTATAGTAGTTTTTGAGTTTATTTAATTAATTTATGTATAAAAAAAACATTTTTTTATCGAAAGTTATCGAAATGTAATTCTCCTTAATTTCATGATTTTTTCTGGAATTTACGTAGACTTATCATTTTCTTTCGTTATGAATGCCTAAAATTACTTTAACTTTATAAATTATTGCCTAATTTTTGATTTATCGAAAATTATCGAAGTATAATATCTTTTATATATTGTAATTCTTTATATTTTTAAAGTTATTTTTTTAGGAAAAAACGAGGTGGTATTAAAAATTTATGCATTTTTCGATTTATCGAAAGTTATCGAAATGTTATTTTACTTATATTCATGATTTTTTTTGGAATCTACAAAGATTTCCCATTTTATTTAATATTAATTTATATACGTATTTCCATATTAACGCTTAAAAATATTTTAAATTTTTATATTTTGCCTAATTATTGATTTATCGAAAGTTATCGAAGAGTAAGTTTTTTTTCTAAATATTATATTTGCTTTTTTTTAAGTAATTTGTTTATAAAAAACAAGTTGTACTTTAAAACTAATATATATTTTCGATTTATCGAATGTTATCGAATCATAATATACCTCATATTTTAGATTTTTACATGGAATATGTAAAAATTTTTCCTTTTAATTTGTTTTAATGCCTAAAAATATTAAAAAATATGAATTATTGTCTAATTTCGATTTATCGAAAATTATCGAAAGTTATTAAAAACATATTTATACAATCTTTTTGATTTTTTTTAATGGATTTGTTCTTTTCTTTAATTAAAATGAAGAAAAATGTTAAAAAATTTAGATTTTATGACCTAAAAAGTGATTTATTGAAAGTTATCGAAATCGAAATCTCTTTTTTTGTTTTTTTTTTTAAATCATTTCACATTTTGACTATTCAAACCAATTGTCTTTCAGCATTGTATTTATACAAAGGATTTTTTTTTTGAAAATTATCGAAAGTTATCGAAACCACATTTATAAAAAAATATTCAATTTTTTTGCTTTGCTTAATGATTTGCTAATTTATTCAACTAAAAATGAAGAAAAATTTGGAAAAAATTACATTGCATGACCTAAATACTGTTTTTATCGAAAGTTATCGAAATCAAATTTTCTTATTTTTTCGTTTTTTCTTTATGAAATTTCCCTCCGGAAATCATTTCACTTCTTAACTATGCGCACCAATTGTCCTTCGGCATTGTATTTGTACAAAGGATCCTTGATCTCCCCCACCTTGGTATATTTCAATTCCGCCGTAAAATCATTATCCTTGGCCTCTGCCTCCGATTGTTTGGTGGTAAATTGTACCTTTTGTATTGAATGATCAGGATTTACGACGAAATATTGACCCTGCGAAATACGATCGGATTGATTCTCCTGCAAACGATTGTAATTCTCAATGGCAGCATTCAAGGCATCGAGAGCGTATTGTTTTTGTATCTCATCTTCGTCCTGTTGACGATCATGGCCGGCCTGTCGGGGATCAATGTTTATGGGTGCACCATATTGGGCAGCTGGTTGTTGGGGAATTTGTTGGGGTTCGAATCTTTCATCGGTCTGGGGATTGGGCAGGCGTTGGGGTGTGAAAATATCACCCTGGGGTTGTTGTGGGAAATTGGGTTGTCTGCGGTCGCCGGGGAATGAGGGGCGTCTGTTGAACGGCCGGCGATTGGGTCTACCCCCACCACCATTATTGTTGTTGTTATTGTTAATACCAGGTTGCTGACTGCCAGGTGGTGGTCCATAACGTCTATGTGGCTCACTGACTGGCACATACTGGACCTCCTGACCAGCAAAGTCGACTCGTTGTTTGGAAACCTCAAATCCAAAGCCTTGATTATCGCCGAATTGCTGTTGCTCAGCTGCATCATCGAAACTGCCGGGAGGTAAATATTCTCCGGGTATATTGAATGGTATGTCTGGACGAAAACCGGCTGGGGCATAGGGTGCTGAACGATGGTTGGCCAATGGAGCTTCTGCTGTCACATACGAAGCTGCCAGGCAGCAAAGGACTAAAACCTGAATTAAACCAAACCAAAATTAAAAAAAAAAAATGGGAAAAATTAAAAATAAAAAATAATAAAAAATTTAAATATTTTAAAAATTTTTTTGAAGAAATTTTTTTAAAAAAAATTAACAATTTTTTTGTATATTTTTGGAAAAAGTGATATATTTTGTTTTTTTAATTTCACACAGCAAAGGAGTAAAACCTAAAAGGAAAATAATAATAATAACAATTAAAAATGGAAAATTTTATATAAAATAAAATAAAAACATTTTTTAAAATTAATTTTTGGAAGATTTTTTTTTGAAAAAAAATGGAAATTTAAAAATAAAGAAAATTTTTTAAAAAAAATATTTTTGGAAGAAATATATATTTTTAAAATTTCTTTTAAATTAAAATATTTTTTTGCTTGTTTTAAAGATTTTGTAGAACTGTAATTTATTCGAAATTAATTTTTTTTATTTTTTGTCACTTTATTTTTTAATTTTTTCTACATCTTGAAAAATAGTTTTCAAATAGTTTCGAAATTGAAAAAATAGTTTTTTTTCTAATTTTTTTTAAATATTTTACATATATATTACAATATTTATAATTTTTTTATTTATTTTGCGAAATTGTAAAAATTGTCTATTTTTTAATAAAATTGTTTTCCTTATTTTTTGTCACTTTATTTCTGATTTTTTTTGTCTTCGAACTCTTATTTCTTCAATATTTAAAAGAAAAGATTTTTTTGAGATTTTTTGAAAATATTTTGACTAAAATGCACATCAAAAAATTTAGTAATATTTTTTTTCAAATTTTCAAAAATTGACTATTTTTCAATAAAATTAGTTCCTTTGAATTTTTTATAACATTTTTTTCTTTTTTCTAATTTGTTGTGAATACTTTGCAAAAAATGTTAATAATTTAAAAATGAAAAATTGATTTTTTGTCACTTTTTTTGAATATTTTTTTAAATCCAGATCTTGCAAAGAGATGTAACTTCTTTTTTTTGTTCTTTTTTTTAAGTTTTTTTTTTATTTTATTTTGAAAAAATGCACTTAACAAAATATATTAAAATTTTTAAATTCATTGTTCAAAATTAAAAAAAAAAAAATACAAAAAATTATTTTCTTTATTTTTTATATTTTTTTTTGCATTTTATTTTTTAATATTTTGTTTTTTTTTTTTTAATATTTTGACAAAAATGCATATTTAAAAATTTATTGCATTTTTTAATATTTTAATACTATTACTTTCTTTGAAATTTCTTTTATTTTTTGTCACTTTATTTTTTGAATATATATTTTTTTAAATATACCTTAAAAATCATTTTGCAAAGAGATCCTAGAACTGTCTGCTTATCTATGGATATATTCGATAACTGTTATCGTTATTCTAGATTTAAGGCATATTTATAGTGAATATCTCCCCCGCTGCTAATTAAAACCAAAAATATTGAATATTCCTTACACGTAGAAGTGCATCAAGATTGCACCAAGCCAATCAACATGAGGGAGCCAGCCAAAAATATGACAAAAAAAAATTGGAAAAAAATCTTCGCCAAAAAAATCCAATGCACAAAATTCTTCAGACCTCGCAACAAAAAACTCATTGTTGACATGGTAATCACGTTTTAATATGTTTAATGAACTGCAATTAGTTTTTGTTGTTTTTATTCTGGTGTTACAACAATGAAATCATTGTTTAATTCGAATAAATATTACAACATCATTGTTTTGACTCTGAAATAATCAAAAACAAAAAAAAAAAAATAAATGAATTAACATTAAAAAATAAAATAAAAAAATTATAAATAAATAAAAAATTAAAATAAAAAAAATAATTAAAAAAAAGATAAAATAAAAAAAAATAAATTACAAATAAAAAAAAATAAAATAATATAAAATGCAAAAAAACCCAAAGAAATAACTCTGAAACAACTCAAAACTATTTCCCAAATTTCAAGTTCAATGTTCACACTTTTCCCACCTCCACTAATGGAAGATAATTATGATTTTATGTAAATTATGGCCATAAACATTTAATGCATTCCTATGCCACCACCCCCTTGCTACGACACACGATTTCCACAAATATTTGAATTTTTTAGCAAAAGTTTTTTTTTTCACAAAGCCGCCAAAGTGTCAATTTTTTAAAATATTACAAAAGGCTAAACATTTTCATTAATTTTTTATGATTGACTATAACCAATCCAGGTTAAATTTACATTGAAATTGCCATATCAACACAAAAGACTTAAGACACTAACTTGCCTTTACTCAGTTGGAGAAAACAAATCGTGTTTGTTTCTTAAGTCTTTTGATTGATTTCTTGATTTCTGTGACATTATACAAATAATGATTCATTAAAAAATTTTTTAAAAATTTTCATATAAAAAATGCCGCTGAATTTCTTTAACATTTAAATCGTGATTTTCATTCATTTCCACTTTGAAACCCAATTTTGAAATGCATTGAAAGTACATTGTCCATACAAAAGACTTAAGGCACAAACTTGCTTTTTTTCTCACTCTCAGATAAAACATAAAATCTAAATGACCCATCAAAAGACTTAGGACACAAACTTCCCAGAAAGAACTGTGTCTCTCTCTTACTCTCTCATTTCCTACTTCCAGAAATAAAGTTATTTCTTTTGTGAAATAAAACACTAAAAACTCATACTTTAAATTTGTTTTCTTTTCTCTCTCACTCTCTTTTTTAACTACTACCTTTGTAAACAAAGCATAGGTCAGATTTTTGACGAACCCTATTGAAATTGATGCTAAACGGGCCAAATTTATATATAGCTTCGATATAAGTCTTCGTACGATTTTAATTCCAAAACGTTTTTTTTTTCAATTGCTGAAAGTCGGCTCCCATATATCAATAGTTCCGATATGTACCTATATTTATTGCTGTGTTCCAGAACTATGTTATCGAGAAAATTTGCAAAACTAGTAGATTCTTCCAGGTTCTGTAACGGATCACTTAAGAGAGTAGTGGAATTGCTGACGGACTGACTTATATCAGGGGTGCTCAAAAAGAAATATCTCTTTTCAGTCAAATTTATCTTTGCTTATTTAAATCAAGAAAAAAAAACAGTGTTGAGTCATTATTAATACAAATATTTTTTATCCATTTTCTTTATAAATTATTTAGGCAAACATTCATGTTAAAAATAATTAAATTGAATCTTAAAATATAAAGAAAAACAGAATATTAATTTTCTCTTAAATTATCTCTTTTTTCTGTTCATGTTCTAGAACACGCTGAGCACCGCTGCTTTTATGGAATCAATGCGAAACGGCTGAGGAATCTTGAAATTTTCCACAAGGGTCAGTCTGGGTGCGTAGACGTGCAATAAGGCAAGATTTTTGAAATGGTACCAAAGATACTGAAATGTACTAAAAATTTAGTACTTTGTATTGGACCAACGGAATGAGCTAGAATTCTGAAATTTGGAATGGGTGTTACTGAGGGAGCGGAGGATAGATAGACCAAAGTATTTTAAGAAATCCGAACTTTGCGTTTACGAAAAGTTCTAAAATGGTACTAAACTTCTAAAATGCTACCATTTGGTATTATGTGAAGGATAGAGCTAAAAACTTGAAGTTTGGTATGAAAATAGAGGTTCGAAAGTAATTTTGAGATATAGAGGTGATTTTGGAAATGTGTACTAAGTGTGTGAACTGTACTAAATGGTACTAAATTTGAAATAGTTTGGTTTAGTTCGAAGGCATGAAGATAGAATTTTGAAATTTTGTATTGGGATCACTGTTGATTTGTGATAAAGAGGTGATTTGGGAATGTGTACCACAAGTGCACAAAAAGTACCAAATGGTGCGTTATTTGGTACAATTTGATATTGGGTGAACAGATAGTGCTTGAAATCTGATATTTGTTTTTGGGACCGAATTGATATTTAGGTTATGGATGGTATCTGTTTTTGAGATTTGGTGATGTTTTGGAAAGACAAATCTATTGTACGAAATTTACTAAATGGTACTAAATTTGGTATTGGGTGAAGAGATAGATCTGGAATCGCGATATTTGATATTGAGGTCTCTGTTGGTATCTGGTATTAAGATATGGAGGTGAATTTGGAAATGTGTACTAAATTTGGTATTGGGCCAAAGGATAGGGCTGGAATTCCGAAATTTAATATTGTGGTCTCTGGGATGGAAATAATGTGCACTTAATTGTACGAAAAGTACTAAATTGGGTATTGGGGGGTAAGGGTTTGCGCTGAAATCCTTAAATTTGATATTGATTGTTCTGCTGGTATCTGCAACTGAAATATGGGCTGGTCTTGGAAATGGGCATTATAATTATACGAAAAATACTGAATGGTACTAGATGTGGTATTGGGTGAAGGGATAGCTCTGGAATCCTCAAATTTGATATTTAGGTCTCTGTTGGTATCTGGGATTAAGATATGGAAGTGAATTTAGAAATGTGTACCATAATTTTATTATAAGTACTAAATGGTACTAAATTTGGTATTGGGTGAAGAGATAGATCTGGAATTCGGATATTTAATATTGATATTGGTTGTTGGCATCTGTAATTAAAATATGGAGGTGGGTTTGCAAATGTGTAATATAGATGGACGAAAAGTACCGAAAGTTACTAAATTTGGTATTGGGTGAGGTGGTAGAGTTGAGATCCTCACACTTGATATTTAGATCACTAATGGTGTGTGGATTTGAGATATGGTGATGTATCTGGAAAGGTGTACTATAATTGTGCGAGAAGTACTAAATGGTACTAAATTCGGTATTGGGTGAAGGAATAGGGCGGAAATCCTTAAATTTGATATTGCGGTCCCCGTCGGTATCTGGAATGGAGATTTTGAGGTGGTTTGGAAATGCTTGCTATATTTGTACGAAAAGTACTAAATGGTACTAATTTTGGTATTGGGTGAAGGAACAGAGATAAAATTCTGAAATTTGATATAGATGTATCTGGAATTAAAATGTGGAGATGGTTTTGCAAATTCGTCCTGTATCTGTACAAAAAGTACTAAATAGTACCAAGATTTGTTTTTGGGTTGGACTGGAATCCTCAAATTTAATATTGAGGTTCCGTTGGTAGCTGGAATTAAAATATAGAGGTGGTTTTGCAGATGCGTCCTATATTTGTACGAAAAGTACTAAATGGTACTAAATTTGGTATTTAGTAAAAGGATAGGGCTGGAAATCCGAAATTGTATATTGTGGTCTCTGGGATGAATATATAGAGGTGATTTCGGAAATGTGCACTAAATTGTACGAAAAGCACTAAATATGGTGTTGGGTGAAGGAATAGAGCTGAAATAATTAAAACGGATACTGAGGCAAAACTACCACAGGGTGGTTTCGCATATTCGTCTATAATTTTTTGAAGAAGTACTAAATGGTACTAAAGTACTAATTTAGTACGATGTTTGAAGTTTTGAGTAAAAAAATGTTGTACATAGCGCATTTTCAATAGCATTTTTTTAAATTTATTTTGTTAAAAATTTAAAATTGAAAAAAAATTTCTTCGAATTTTAAAAATATTTTTTTTGGATTTTTTTTAAGTTTTATTAAAGTTTTATTTAAAAAAAAATTAACAAAAATTCATATTTTAAATTTTATTAAAAATTAATTATTTTTTAATAGAACTAGTATTAGTATAATTTCACACAATGTATGAGGTTTTGATTGAAAATTCTTGTTAATCTGAATAAATTGTGCATTTTGAGTACTAAAAGTTCTAATACGAATTGTTCCAATGAATCCAAAATTTTAAGGTGGCCTATTCGCTAATGAAGTAGCGGCCACTTGCTTGTGTATTATAGTTTTGTGGGGTATCACATGGTCGGCCCCGGCCCACTTTGCTTACTTTTTTAATATATGAGTTTTTTCTTGCCATGGTTCGTGAAGCTTTTTCCTCTAAATATCATTCATGAGAATTTATGTTCTCTAAAGAATCACTTTTCCCATGGCTAATGGGCCAAGAACACCCTTTATAATTTTAATTTTTTTTTTAAATCAAAAAAGCGAAACCAAAGAAGAACAAATCGCCAAATTTCGCAAGCATGCAAAAAAAACAAGACCTCAAATAACACTGACTTTTTACTGTTATAATCTTGTAAAAACCGCTTGCCAAAAAAAAACTGAGAATTGAAATTCAAAACCATGTTAAGGTGTGATGATGATGACGATGATGTTAATGATTCATGGTGGCAGAACTTGGTCGCTTGGCTTAGATCCAATAAAATTTGTACTTAACAGCCAGTCGTTGGTGGTGGTGGGTCAATGTTAGATAACGACAGAAATAGACAGACAGACAGGCGGACTAGGCCACCTAGACCACGACCACAGGCAAACAAAAAAAAAAAAAAAAAAAAGATGGGAAACTTTGATATGCTTACTTTTTATTTATTTTTGTTGTTTTTTTTTTCGTTATGGCAACAATGAAACAATAAACAAAAAATAAAATTTTGTGTTTTTTTTTTGGGAGTTTGAATTAAAAAAAAAAAACAACAACAACAAATAAAACAAGAAGCCAAAATTTATTTTAAGAGGAGAGATATTTGATTTGTTTTTATTACCTTTGGTGTTTTTACGGTAATTTCACGATTTTTATGTTTATTGTTTTTTTTTTACTTTTTTCGAATAATTATAGTAAAAGCAAAAAAAAAAAATGAAATTAAAATTTTATTTTTTTTTTTTTTTTGAAACCCCCTCCAGTAATTGCCTTTGGCATGTGTCTTCTCACCCCCAAAACACATTCCATTAAAAGTGTAGAGCCCAAGAAATCCCCATAATGATGTTTTGACACATCTACCATCAAACTGACCCCTCAACACCTTATTAATGCCATAATCATAAGGTTCGTTGCCTCTTAAGAAGAGAAGAAGAAAAAAACAACAAATCTCCTCTCACTTTTCTTACGAAATCCAGCTCTTCATGCCAGTATGTGTGTGACACTTGACACCAATAACAAGTAGAGAAGCAAAAAAAAAAAAAAAAAAAAAAAAATTGTTACAATTTTGCTTTCAATTTTGAGAGAAGAGAAAAAAATCTCAACATCAATTGATACTTCAAAATTCGTCTTCACTTGATTTTTTTTTTTGCATTTAATGTCAAATCCACAAGTGTGGCATTTGATAAAGGGCTGGAAAAACAATACCTAACCATGTGAACCACAAAAAAATACAAAAAACACAGCCCTAAACTGTGGCCAAACTCCAATTGAAATGAGGCTATGTTTCATTGTTGCTGTTTTTTTTTTTGTTTGGTTTTGATTTGGGAATTCCGCAAAATGTTTATGTTTTTTTGTGGTTTAACAAAATTCACATGCCACCATATTTAACGGTACTCTCAACGCGATATTGATTTACATAATTCTTGCGTAATTAAGTTTAATGGCATTTTAGCGCAATACCCATACCCAAATGGAGTTGGTTTTCTCACATGACAAGTGCAAGGTGTAGTATGCGGTTTTGAGCGGAGCAAAAGTCATCAAATATCAATTTTAGATTTTAGAGAGATAAAGAAATCACTCTTGAATTCCATCACGAATAACTTGTTTTCTGGAAAGTTCTCACCAAAATGCTTTTGAATGCTTGTAAAAAATATAATGAGCTGTCACTGGAATAATTTTAACAGCTATCGGACGAGTGGCTTAGAAATGGCAGCATTCTCAAGTAGGTTGCAGTCCGTTCATCTCACCCTGTATATATGTTAGAATCATATTCTAATGCATAGCTGAGCTGGAAGGCCAATTTCTCTTAGTTTTTGTCAAACAATCAAAGTCTTTCCATTATTCAAAAAATAATTTTAAAAATTTGCTTTAACAACAATTTCACACAGCATTCGCGTTCAAAAAAGGTTAAATTATTTGTAAAATGAAATTTTAAATGTCTCTTAAACAATCTCTTTATATGATATTGCTATGCGCTGTTTTAATGAGTAAAAGAGTTTGAGAGAGATCAACTTAATTTCAGTGTTCTCTTTTTGTTTCAATAATGCCTCATATATTCTCTTACATCCTATAATGAAAAGGGAGAGACATAAATTAATCAAAGCACATGTTAAAGCCGAAAGAGAGAGCATTTAAGAGAGATAGAGAGAAAGAAATGCAACAAAATTTGAAGTATGTGTCTTAAGTCTTTTAATTCACAATAAAATCAATCAAATTTTCCCCCGAAAATATAAAATGAATGAGTGAGAGAGACAAAGCTCTATCTCTGAAGTTTGTGTCCTAAGTCTTTTGATAAATCATTTCGATTTCATGTTTGAATGAAAAATGGAAACGGGCAGGAATTAAGAGAAAAAAGTATGAAGGAAAACTATTTAAAAAAATAAAAAATTTGTTGTTGCAAAATGGTCAGGCTTAATCCCTTTATTGTTGTTTTTATAAAAACAACGATGGTAATGTTTACCAGGGGGTAAGGCAGGGAATACCTAGGTTTCGGAAAGAGCCACCAATCCTCATCAGTTCCCTTGTTTTTTGTCGGGGATATTCTACCCAGAAGTTATTTTAAAAATAACTTCTATGACAAAACAAAAAAATAAATTAAAAAAATGATAAAAATTACCATCGTTCTCCACTAATAAACAAACGTTGTTTTTATAAAAACAACAATAAAAATTTGGCAACAACAAAATACTATGGTATCCCGAACAAACAAACCAACACGGTTCCAAAAAATAAAAATAATAAAACAAGTTATAAAGTAGCAGTCGGTTTTGCCGACTCTTAGCCAATGTTCTGTTATTATACCCTTCGCAAATTGGCTAGAGAGGGTATATATCATTTGATAGGTCAAAACGTGCCTCATTTAAATTACGATTTTAGAACCTAGGCCTCTTTGGATCAAATCCGTTTCAGGACATTTGTAGTCGATCTAGCGATGTCCGTCCGTCTGATAACTCTCGAAGGGAGAATCCGAGTTGCTCCAAACTTGGTACATCCTAATATTATTATCAAACTTAGAACGAGTTCGGAGATTGGAATTATCGTTTCACTCCTTCTGCTAACTCCCCCACAAAAGGTGAAAATTTTCAAAAGAAAAAAAATAATTTGCTGCAGAGAGAGAGAGAGAGAGAGAGACAGACAGAAAGGATCATAAGAATTTGTTCAAACTTTAAAAATTCTAATATTTGTATCTCTGCTAGATTAGGTGTGAAAATTGACAATATAGACTGACTCCTTTTAGTACCTCCCTCACAAACGGTCAACATTTTGAATAATCTCAATGCTTATAAAATGTGAAATATGAGTTTGATTGTCTTCAATCTTCACAATATTTCTATTAACCCATGGTCTGGTATGAAGATGGAATATATCGGTCCATTTCTTTTGGTACCTCCCCCACAAAGGAGTAACGTTTTGAATATCCATGAATCTCATAAAACGCGAAATTAAAATCCGATTCCATTCAGATTTGGCACATCTCAATATTTCCATCAACACAAGATCTGTTAGAAAGGGGGTGGAGATCGGACGATTTCTTCTGGTACCTCCCTCACAGAGGGTCAAAATTTTGAATAATCTTAACGCTTATAAAATGTGAAATATTAGTCCGATTAACTTCAAATTACACACATCACAATAATTTTATTAACCCATGGTCTGGTATGAAGGTGGAATATATCGGTCCATTTCTTTTGGTACCTCCCCCACAAAGGGTCAAAATTTTTAATAACCATGAATCTCATAAAACGCGAAATTAACATCCGCTTCCATTCAGATTTGGTACATCTTAATATTTCAATCAACACAAGATCTGCTAGAAAGAGGGTGGATATCGGACGATTTCTTCTGGTACCTCCCGCACAGAGGGTCAAAATTTTGAATAATCTTAACGCTTATAAAATGTGAAATATTAGTCCGATTAACTTCAAATTACACACATCACAATAATTTTATTAACCCATGGTCTGGTATGAAGGTGGAATATATCGGTCCATTTCTTTTGGTACCTCCCCCACAAAGGGTCAAAATTTTTAATAACCATGAATCTCATAAAACGCGAAATTAACATCCGATGCCATTCAGACTTGGCACATCTCAATATTTCCATCAACACAAGATCTGTTAGAAAGGGGTGGAGATCAGAACATTTCTTCTAGTACCTCCCCAAAAAATGGTCAAAATTTTGAATGACTTAAACGATAATAAAATCCAAAAAAAAAAAAAAAAACATCTGGTTCCCTTCATATTGCCAACATCCCATTATTTCTACTAACACTAGATCTGCTGTGAAGATGGGATAAATCGTTCTACTCCTTCTGGTACCTACCCCACAAAAGGTCAAGATTTTGAATATCAATGAAGCTCACAAAACGCCAAGTTAACATCCGCTTCCATTCAGACTTGGCGCATCTCAATATTTCCATCAACACAAGATATGTTATAAAGATGGTAGAGATTGGACCATTCCTTCAGGTACCTCCCCCAATAATGGTAAAAATTTTGAATAAGCAAAACGATTGAAAAATTCGAAATAAGCATCTGGTTCTCTTCATATTGCCAACATCCCATTATTTCTACTAAAGATGGGATGGGATAAAGTGGTCCGCTCCTTCTTCCTTCCTCACCCACAACCTGTTAAAATTTTGAATACCATGAAGCTCATAAAACGCGAAATTAACATCCGCTTTTTAAATTGTTTCACTTTACATCTCTCTTAAAATTAAAATTTGAAAAATTTTTTTTTGAAAATTGCTTTGATTTATAAGAAAATTAGCAGGTCATGAATATTTTCATTTTCAATTTTTATTAATTTTTTTCTATTTTTTTTTTGTTGAACAACATATTATTAATTTTTTTATTTATTAATAAATTATTAAATATAATAACAGAGCGCATAAATATTAATAAAAAAAACTATGAACTTATCAAACAATAACTGTTATGACAGCCATCATAAATTTTGCCACAAAATTGACAGTGATGTTTTGATTGCACTTGCTATTTATTGGCAAAAACAAAAACAAAAAAAAAACAATTTTGAGATCTACTGACCACATTGTGGCATATATTATTATTTTTTTTTTTTTTGGATTTGAACATAAAAAAGATATATTTAAACGATAATAAAGGGGTATGAAATCAACAAATGACAGAATTGTTTTTTTTTTTTTTTTTTAATTTTAAGATCTTCTATTTATAATTTCATGGCTATACCAATTAGCAATTTTTAAGCATTTTGGTATCAGCTTGCTCTTGAAGTGCTAAGAAAATAGAAATATATCAACTACTTTTAATACTCCAAATTACAATCGAATTTCCGGAAATACAGCAAACCAACAGCTAATTGAAAAAAAAAAAAAAAAAAAAAAAAAAAAAAATTAAAAGTATTTTTAAATATCAAATATTTTGAATACTCCAAAATACAGATGAATTTCCGGAAGGCCAGCAATGGCTAATTGAAAAAATTAAATTAAAAAAAAATTCAAAAATATTTTTTTAAATATTTTTAAATATTTTTCAAGATGATAACAACTGCTACTTAAACTCAGCTAGAGTGTTATATTCACTCGAATATGAAGAAGAAAATATTTCTAGGTTTTAAAAAATGGTTTTCAAAGAGGTTTGATATGACTCAAGAAGTCATTGTGAATGACCTTGTTAAAAAAAATAAAAAATTAAAATAAACAATTATTATTTTTTGTATAGCATTCTTCAATACCGTTACTAATTCTTGTAACAAACGAATATTACCATTTTTTTAAATCCATTTTTTCCCAGGCCATATTTTGTGGTTTTAGTTTGTTCTTCTTAAACAAATAATTGCTAATCATGAGCAAGTGCTCATCATCGTCTAAATAAAAGCTGCATCATTAAATTATTTATTTTGAAGATAAAACCACCACTTCAACTTCACAAATGGCAGAGCAACCGCCAGAAGACTGAGGCGTGTATCAAGAACTGCTACTGCTAAAGTTCATGTTACACCAAAGCCCTTGAATTTGAGATGAAACGTGAACCAATGATTTTTTGTGTGTTTCCTCTTTGTTGTGGTTCTGCCATGTTTGTATTACACGTTTCTGGGGTATCATTCGAGAAGAATAGGAAGTGGAACAATTTAAATTGATAGTTCATGTTATGATCACTTTAAGTCTTTTGGGGTGTATTCGAGTAATTTGGTTGATTTTCAAATAATTTTTTAAAATATTTTTTTTTTTTTGACCTAAAATAATGTGAATATTTTTTTGGGGGCACTACCAAATTTTATGGATTTTTGTAAGGGTCTAACAATCAAAAAAAAAAATAAATAAATAAATAAAAATAAAAAAATAAATAAATAAAATATAAAATAAAAAAAATAAAATAAAAAAGCCGGTAAGTTCTTCCAGGCCGAACTTTGAATACCCTCCGCCTTTTGGAATGAATTTGGATTTTTTTTCAAAAAATAAAATCCGTTAAAAATTCTGTTAAAATCTTAAAAACACCGAAATTTATTTTGGGTCTATACCAAGACGTGGACCTGCATAGACAACTTTTGTCATAAGCCATTAAAATATTCAAATACGAAACTTGGAAAAAATCCGGTTTACGAAACTTGGAAAACAATTTATATATAGGGAGATGGACCTATATAGACCATTTTTGTTACAGGTTTTAGTACCCGTTAGGAACTCTAAATACGAAATTTGAAACAATTCCAGTGAATAATGTAGCTAAAATCGTCAAAATACCGAATAAGATCGAAAAAATACCGAATATAAGGAGGTACTGATATATGGGTCCTATACAAAGACTTAGACCTGCAAGACAATTTTCTCTCACAGACTGTAGTTCCCATTACGTTTGGTGTGAAAATGGAATATTCCGGTCAACCACCAATCTCATATAAAATGAAGGAAGTAGTCGATCCAAATCTTGCTTATATAATATCAGACTTATGTCAATGTAATTTCTATAAAAAATAGTATAATTAGGTATATGATTTATTCTGAGGTTTATAGTAAATTTTGTTTAGAATATTTCTTCTTTTGGAATCTTCCACCTAAAATCAAAATTAATGTTACTTTCAGGCGTAAACTCGAAAAATGTCAGTGGAAATAATTAAAAAACAAGTAAAAAAGCTGTAAGTTCGGCCGGGCCGAACTTTTAATACCCTCCACCATTTGGTACAAATTTGGCAATTTCCAAAAAATAAAACCAGTTAAAAATTCTGTTAAAATCTTAAAAATGCCGAACGCTTATACGACGACGTGGGCCTGCATAGGCAACTTTTGTCATAAATTATTACAGTATTTAAATGCGAAACATGAAGAAAAATCTGTTTATAATGTAGCTAAAATCGTCAAAATACCGAATATGGGGGGTACCGTTATATGGGGGTTACACGAAGACGTGGACCTGCACAGATAATTTTCTGTCTTAGGCTGTAGTATCCATTACGAACTTCAAATGCCAAATTTGAAATAACTCCGGTGAATAATGTCGCTAAAAGCATCAAAATACCGAATATCGGAAGGTACCGTTATATGTGGGCTATATGATAACTTGGACCTACATGGCCCATTTACGAACTTAACCTGCCTACTGGAAAAATATACATGTGTGCAAAATTTTAGCCTTCTATCTTAATTTGTTCGAAAGATAGTGTGATTACAACAGACAGACAGACGGACAGACAGACAGACAGACGTCTTAGAATTTTACGCTTATCAAGAATATATATACTTTGTTCGGTCTGACATGAATATTTCGAGGAGTTACAAACGGAATGACAAAATTAATATACCCTCCATAGTATGGTGGAGGATATAAATAAAAATAATAATGAAGAATATCTTCGTTTTTTTTTTGAAAGTATTGATGCAAATATTTTTTGATATGCCGTGAAAATAGAGATTTGTTTTCTGTGGTGATTTATAGTGAAATTTTGTAAACAATATTTATTCTTTTGAAGGCTTCAGCCTATAATGGAGTTTTATGTTACTTTCGGGTGTCAACTCAAAAAAAGTCCGTGGAAAAAAATTGATCAAAAAATGTAGGTTACTTTGCGATTTAAAGCTCTCTATCTCTTACCATCAATTGATGAGAGAGTCTCATTTTTAACAAAAAGACTTAAGCCACAAACTATGTCTTGTTATTATTATAAATCTACGGCTTTCTCTTTACCTCTCTTTTAGAGAGAGCCAATTCAGTTAATCCAAAACTAACAAGAGAGCACCCAAATTCCATTTCAACTGGCTCTGGGAAAAAACATATCTTTCTCTTTCCATGAGTTATTTAATTTTCTCTTTCCATGAGTAGATGAGGGAGTCTAATTCTAATGCACGATTTCAAATAATCCTTAAAATATTAAAAAAATATCAGATATAATTTTTTTTGAAAAAAAAAATGTTTTTATAAATTCAGGTTAACCAAAACAATTCCTGAAACCTTTTTTCCCAAAAATTCAATTTCAATAAAAAAATACCAAAAAAAAAATGTTTTTATAAATTCAGGTTAACCAAAACCATTCCTGAAACCTCTTTTCCCAAAAATTCAATTTCAATAAAAAAATAATACCAAAAAAAAAATGTTTTTATAAATTCAGGTTAACCAAAACAATTCCTGAAACGCTTTTTCCCAAAAACTCAATTTCAATAAAAAAAAATAATACCAAAAAAAAAATGTTTTTATAAATTCGGGTTAACAAAATCAATTCCTGAAACACTTTTTCCCAAAAATTCAATTTCAATAAAAATATAATACCAAAAAATTGTTTTTATAAATTCAGTTTTGTTTTGGTTAAACAATTCCTGAAACCTTTTTCCAAAAAATCAATTTCAATAAAAAAATTATACAAAAAAAATGTTTTTATAAATTCAGGTTAACAAAACCAATTCCTGATACCCTTTTCCCAAAAATCAATTTCAATAAAAAAATTAATGCCAAAAAATTTTTTTTATAAATTCAGGTTAACCAAAGCAATTCCTGAAACCTTTTTTCCCAAAAATTCAATTTCAATAAAAAAATAATACCAAAAAAAAATATTTTTATAAATACAGGTTAACCAAATCAATTCCTGAAACCTTTTTTCAAAAACTCAATTTCAATAAAAAAAATAATACCAAAAAAAATTGTTTTTATAGATTCAGGTTAACCGAAACAATTCCTCAAACCCTTTTTCCCAAAATCTCAATTTCAATAAAAAAATACTCCCAAAAAAATGTTTTTATAAATTCAGGTTAACCAAAACAATTCCTGATACCTCCTTTCCCAAAAATTCAATTTCAATAAAAAAATAATACCAAAAAAATTGTTTTTATAAATACGGGTTAACCAAAACCATTCCTGAAACCTCTTTTCCCAAAATTTCAATTTCAATAAAAAAGTAATACAAAAAACAAAAATTTTTTTTATAAATTCAGGATAACCAAAACAATTGCTGAAACCCTTTTTCCCAAAATCTCAATTTCAATTAAATAAAATATCCCTTATTTTTTTACTTTGTTTTATACAAAAATTGCATTTATTTATTTAAGTTGTATTTTTATACATTTGACATTTTTTTACATGATTTTTTGTAATGAGTTGCTATGATTTATAAAAAAATATATATATTTCGATATTTTTTCTTGTTGTTTTATAAAATAATGAGTATTATAAAATTAAGTTTACATGATGTAATTAGGTATATATTCATGGGGAATGTGTGTATGCGTGAGAGTGAGTGTCTTTGTGTGTGTGTGTGTCATTGCTTGTGTGTAAGCAATAAAAAAATGTATTGAAATATACAAAGAGAACAATGAAAGCACTTAACGAAACGAACGGTGATAATACGAGTAGCGCAAAAAATACAAAATACTATTACAAAAAACAATAAACAAAATATTATAATTCTTTTATAAAATATTTAAAAAATATACACAACAAAAAAAGCTTTCAAATGCCATCAGAGAGGTTTGAAAGCTTTATGGCAAGTTGGTTGGTCTCATTTCAAGGCAGGCTTAAGGGCTAAGGCTTTTGTGAAATGTGTGTGTGCGCGTGAGAGAGATGTAAATAAAACAAATTCGGTTTTAAGATGTGGCTGATGAGAGAGAGAATGGGAGAGAGAGACGGAGAGTAAGATTTTTATACAGTGTGGGAGGTAGAATGAAAGCTCTTGTTTAAAGCCTTAACTAAGCTCTCCATTTTTTTCGAATGCTTGCAATTTTTTCCTTGTTTTTTAAACTAAATTATTTAAGGACTAAAATCATTTTTTCTTCTTCGTTAACTGAGTGTTTTAAGCCTAGTTCTGTTTTTTTTTCTTAAGTTTTGAGCCTTATTGATAACCACCAAATTTGCCTTGTTGTTGTTGTGCATTGCTATCGTAACCACCGTTGTTGTATTGACCACCACGTCCGCCAGCCTGTTGGCCACCATTGACCTGTTCATAACGGATCGAGGGACGGTAACCATTCTGATCGGCTTCGTATTCCACGATTTGTTTACGACCATCGGGCAACAAGACATAGTAACGGCCGGTGGTGAAATCACCATCACGGGCCTCCATGTGACCGAAATCATTGCCGGATTCGTAGTCTTGGACATCGTATTTGAATTCGTATTTGGCTGGTCCGTAGTTTTCCTCAGCACCGCCATAGCCGCCGGCAGCATTTTGACCATAACCTCCAGCACCAGCAGCAGCAGGAGCACCATAGGCAGTCGATGGACCAGCATTTTGTTTGGGGAAAATGGCCGAGGTCAAGGCGGGAGCACCATAGCTATTGGAGGGGGCAGCCACACTACCAGCACCAGCACCACCACGTTGAGGAGGCAAATAATTGCTGTTGGGTGCCTGGTATGAGTTTTGGGGTGGCAAATAGTTATTGGAGGGTTGTTGCTGCTGATTGGGTGGCAAGTAGTTGTTCTGAGGTACTGGAGGTTCAGCCGAAACGACGGCAAGGCAGACCAAGAAAGCAATTGTGGTGAAGCACTGAAATGAGGAGAATAAGAAAATAATTTTTTAAAAATTATTTAATTTAAAAAAATATTGAATTTAAAAAAAAGTTTTACAAAAACAATTTCGGAAGCCTGATTTTTATTTTTTTTATTTTTAAAAAAAAAAAACAATGGGATATTTTTATTTTCTTGCATCAGCTTCTTTTAAATTATCGTGTGGTAGGAAATTATTGAAAAATTTTACAAATATTTTTTATTTCGAAATTTAAATTTCAAAAAAAATTTAAAAAATTCAGAAATCAATTTTTATTTTTTTAATTAAAAAAAATCAATGGAATATTTTTTTTTATTTTTTGGTATCAGTTTTATTTATATTCTCGTTGGTAAGAAAATATTGAAAAAATTTACCAAAACGAAAATTTCCTTTTAGGGGAAATTTTTATTTATCGACCAAATTTCAAAATTATTTCAGTTCTGTATTAATATCTATGAAAAATATTTTTTTTTTGGAAAAAAACTCAAATTTCCCAAGAAAATTCGCAAAAGGGAAATTTCCTTAAAAATTTCCCAAATAGGGAAATTCTATTTTTTGTTTTGATTTTCTATGAATCCGCACCTCACATAGGTTCGATTTGTAAGAAAAGTTTTGAAAAATTTCACAAAAACAAAAATTTCCCTTCAGGGGAATTTTTTCTTTACTGGCCATTTTTCAAAATTCTTTTAGTTCTGTATTTATCTCCATGTAAAACATCATCTTTTGGAAAAAAACTAAAATTTCCCAAAAGGGAAATTTTTGTAAGATATTTTCCCAAAGGGAAATTTTAAGTTTTTGCTTCCAAATAATTTCAATAATAATATAGTTTCAAAATAAAAAAGAATTTTTAAATATTTGCATAAACAAAAATTTCCGTCAAGGGGAAATTTTTATTTTCGAACCAAATTTCAATTTTTTTCAGTTTTGTGTTTAACGCTCTGTAAAATACCATATTTGACAACAAACTAAAATTTCCCTAAAAATTTCCCAAAAGGGAAATTTTCAGTTTTTGCTTCCAAATGATTTAGTTCATTATTGAGTTCCAAAATAAAAAGGATTTTTTCAAATATCAGCAGAAACAAAAATTTCCCTCAAGAGGAATTTCAAGTTTTGATTCATTCTGCATTTGTTTCTAAGTAAAAAATCATTTTTTGGTAAAAACTAAAATTTCAATAAAAATTTCCCAAAAGGGAAATTTTTAGTTTTCACGATACCACAACAAAAATTGCCTTCATTCTCAGACAATCTCTTTTTCGATTAATTTTTCAAATAACTGCATTAACAAAAAATTCCCTCAAGGGGGATTTATTATTTTCGGACCAAAATTTTGAAAATCTTTTGTTTCTGAAAAAAAAATGTTTAAAATATAAAATTTCCTGCGAATTGAGAAAATTTGTCCTTTAAAAACTTTTGAAAATTTCTACAAGAAAATATGTATATTTCGATTCCAAATAATTACTTTTTTCTACTGGCTTCGAAATAAAATGAGTCTCTAATTTACTCCAAATTACTGGGTTTACTGGGTTTAAAATTATATTTTGTTTTCAAATGTCTAAAAAACAAAAATATTTTCTTTTTCTATTTTCAGACGAAACTTTACCATTTAATATTATCGAAAATGTAAAGAAACTCCTAAAATGCCCTACTCTTAATATCTCATAAAATCGATGCCTTTCTCTTAACATTTATTTCAGACAGAGAGAAAGAGAACCAATTCAATTCATCGAAAAATAACAAGGGAGCTTTCGAATCCTGAGAACCCATTTTAAATGACTCTGGGGTAAACACACCAAACTCCAAGTTCTCTTTCTCTTTCCATGAATAGAAGAGGGAGTCACATTTCAAATGGTAACAAAAGACTTAAGACACAAACTTTTTCGTGGGTAAAGATGCTATGAGAAATGTATTTCTGAATGGCTAACTATCGCTCCCTTTCTCTCTTGTCAGAGAGAGCTAATTCAGTTCATCGAAAATTGACTAGGGAGCATTCGAATTCCATTTTAACTGGCTTTGGGAGAAAAATATACTAATTTTTCTTTCTCTTTCAATGAAGAGATGAGAGAGTCTCATTCCAAATTAGGTTTTATGGTAACAAAAGACTTAAGGCACAAACTTTTTTGTGGGTAATGTTATTATTAGGATTTTTTGTGAATGGCTAACTATCACTCCTTTCTCTCTGGTTATTTTTGAGATTACAAGAGATATCTCTTTCTTGTTTTTTTTTTCTCTTATTTAAATAAGAAAAACCTGTTATTGAAAGAAAGAGTATTTTTTTTTAAATGAAATTTTGAATTGTTTTATTTTTGTGTGATTTTTTTTGAATACCTATTAGCACGAGAAAGGGCGTAAATATTGGGACTATGTTACTGGTCAAAAAAACAAAGGTGAAGTTTTTACAGGACTGTATAACAAAAATATTTTTTAAAACCCAACGATTTTTACGATTTTTAAAAATAATTTTTTAAGACCTAAAAAATATTTTATATATTTTTTAAATATTTTTTTAAAATATTTTATAGACAGTTTAAATATTTTTGAAATTTTTTTTCAAAAATATTTTTTAATACCCAAAGATTTTACGATTTTTAAAAATAATTTTTTAAGATCTAAAAAATATTTTATATATATTTTTTAAATATTTTTTTAAAATATTTTATAGACAATTTAAATATTTTTGAAATTTTTTAAAAAAACTTTTCAAATTTTCTGCCTTTAAAAATATTTTTTGATTATTGTATTAACATTTTCAAATCGACTTCTTATGCATATCTATTTCTTAATTGAATTTTATTTTTTTTTCGCAATTTTTTATATTTTCTTGAAATTTGCTCTGCATTTACATTTTTAATCCGCCAAAATCTTGTGTTGAAATCAAACAACATTTATTCAAGCCATTCATTATCTTTTCACAGTTTAATCTGATCTTTATGTATAATTGATATAATTTGGTTTGTTTAAAGACTTTCAAAAATTTATGCTAATCTAAAACCGAAACTGGCAGCTGAGACCGAAGGCAAAACAAATTAGTCAAATTCGTTGCACAACAATGTAATAAATGTTGTTGTCGGTGGGGAGGGGGGATTTTTTTGCTGGTGACAACATTTGATGACATTATGTTGATGTTTGTCGGCAAAGTTGCCGTTTTCGCATGTCAAATTGTTTTTTTTTTTTTGGTGTAATAGAATTGTTAAAATATTCATGATTTATATCAGAAAAACAAACAACAAAAAGAAAAAATGTCAAAAGACATAGAAAAAAAATATATATAACAAACCTCCATCCATTCACACAAATCTGCAAATGGTAGACGATGGATGGCACATGATTTAGTTAATGTAAAAAAAAAATTGAAAAAAAAAAAAATCTGCAGACAGACAGACGAACCCCCAATTTAAGATTAAGATCTTAAGAAGCATGTTGATGCTTTGTAAATCTCAGATGATTTTTTTTTTCTGTTCGGTTTTTGCTTTCAAGCTTCTTTTCGTGATTGATGTTTGCCATGTCTTCTGTGGCTGTTGTACAAGCTGTTAGCACATTGTTAATCAGTTCAGACAACAGTTTATTATGCCGTGCTAATGTTTTTTTGCGTAAAGAATTTTTTTTTGCGATGTGGGATTATTTTTTGTTGTCGTTGTTGTCTTTTTTTATCTAAATATGTTAATTAGTTGCCAATCCAAAAAGAGATTGTCTTGTGAATGGAGGCAATTTTTGTTGCGGTATCGTTAAAAGAGTAATTAAACTAGATTATCAGCAAAATGGTTGGAAAATGTCACCGAGGCAATAGAGTAAATAGGTATTTATTATTTTTGGAAATTGGCAAAATTTTGAGTTGTAGGGTTTTTATTTGATTTTTATTTTTTTAGATTTTTTTTTATTCAAATATTAAACTTTTCAGATTTTCTCATCAATTAAATTTTGAAAATTTTTGCATTTTAAATATATTAAAACTATTGGACTGGCATTTTTTAATTTATTTTTTTATATTTATTTTTGTCATAAATTAAATAGAAAAAAATTATTTTGGATTTTTTTGTTATTTTTTTTTTATTTCCGCCATTAAATTTTATTCCAAATTTTTATCCAGACTTTTTTTAATTTTTTAGAATTTTTGTTTTCCATTTTTAGAATTTTTGTATTTTAGATATAGCAAAAAAAAAAATATATTAATTTTTTTCTAATTTTCTGCCATAAATTTAATTGCAAATATTTTTCCAGATTTTTTTTTAATTTTTAGAATTTTTTTTTCCATTTTTAAAATTTTTGTATTTTAAATATATCAAAAATATTTTAAATGGATTTTTTAATTCCATTTTTTTGTCATCAATTTTTATCTTGATTTTTCTGATTAATTTTTTTATTAAATATTTGTATTAAATTTCTATAAAAACAAATAAAATTTTCTATAAAAACAATAACATTTTTATTTTTTTTCTTATTTTTTTTGGATTTTTTTCGGTTTTTTTTTGTTTATTTTTCCTATTTTTCCTCATCAAAATAAATTGCAAATATTTATCACGTCCATGAGTGTGTGTGTGGTTCGTTCTACAATAATTTATTTCATATTTACCATGTTATTACAGTAATTGTTGCGTCTGAGGTGGTCTGTCGTCGGCATTCTGTGAGCTTGGGCAATTTGCCGACAATTTGAAAGTCGTTTGAAAAAAAAACCCGCAAAATTAAAAGCTATCAAAGAAGTCAATATACCTTGAAAAGATTTGCAACAAAATGAACAACATTTTGAAAATATTTTTAGTGAATTATTTACGGCAACATTCCAATGGTTAATGATAGTGATAATTTGCAATACAATTTTTGAAAATTGGAAAAATACTTTAGACTTCCATTAAAAATTATAAAAATTGAAATATTCGACTTTTTGAATTTTGTGGATAATATTCTAATTTTATGAAAAAAAAAATCGAAAAATATGGCGATATTTTAAACCATTCATATTTATTTTTTACTTGGAATATTACTCAACATATTGTAGAAAGAGCTCA